TTGTGCAGACACACACCTCTCAGATTCAACTCTGAGATTTTTGGTTTTAAACAATTGTACTTCCCATAAATGAAGATGCTGTCGAGCAGCAGCATCCTCGAGGATCACCTGCTTAGTCTAGACCCTTAAGGTGTAGAAACAAGTGACAGCCCTGGATGTCACGAAAGCTAACTTTAAAAAATGCACTGGTTTTTAAGAAGGAGGGAATTGTTTAGAAATTATAAATATTAGCAGAAATATTTATTTCAAACACCAGAGTATAAACATAAGTTTCTGTACTTCAAGGAAGATGCAAACTTGTAAAATGCAAAAATTAAACATATATCTTCCCTCTAATTATTAGCAGATAATAAAAATAAGCTGTCAAAAAACAGCCACTGTCATTTCTAGCAAAATATCTTGCAGTTTTAGATTTATAATTTTACTTCCATGGAGAACCAACATCAATACACACCATCGCTGGACTCAATGCAGGTTTTGTTTGATTCTCCTATCATTGTGTGTTCTGAGGTATGTACCAGGTGCCAGCCACACCCCCCAAAATGTGCTCAGGGGCACCCTGGCCCCACAGAAGCCTCTAGTGCAGTCTGAAAGAGGGCACCCGGGCCTACCAGTCCCTCCCTCTTAGCCCCCACAGTCACTTGGTCCTCAGGACATCTCTGAAGCAAGTAGGCATAAAGCAGCTTTAGATGGTGAACTTTCTCAGAGCAGGTAGCATCTGTGAGGAGCTAAGATCATCTCCAAACTAAGTACAAGTCTGCTTTCATCCTCATAGCAACATGGCAATAAGAAAGGTCTGAGACAATTTCCTATAACTGCCCAAAGCCAGAAACCCCACAGAGAAGCTTCTATCAAGTTAGATAAATCTATATATAAACACAAATAACAATAAGATTAATTCAGATATCCATTTGGGGGGAACCAGTTAGGTAAGTTATTGGTAAACCCACTGTGACAAGTTTTTTTGATTTGTCAATCTGACTAGGCCACGGTTCCATTATTAAACACTGAGCTGGGTGTAAATGTGAAGGCATTTTGCGGGTGTGATTGGAGCCCATCAGTCAAAAATAAGAGTAAAGAAGCACCCTGGATAATCCAGGTAGGCCTGATTCAGTTAAAAGGCCTGAAAATCTGAAACTTCCCTATAAAACACAGGAATCCCACTCATAGCAGCAGCTTCAACTACATCTGTGGTGCTCACCCTGCACCCTTTGCTTCCTGTCTGAGCCCATGAATCCCACCTGCCCATCAGGTTCTTCTGCTCCCCTGCCAGCCCAGCCCAGTGGATTTCAGACTGGCTTAGCCAGTATCCACAGTCATGAAAGCCAAATCCTTGTAACAAATGGACACATACATTTACATATACATCATACTGTTTCTAATGGTTCTGCCTCTCGGGGCTCCCCTTGCGGCTCAGCTGGTAAAGAATCCGCCTGCAATGCAGGAGATCTGGGTTCGATCCCTGGGTTTGGGAAGATGCCCTGGAGAAGGGAGAGGCTACCCACTCCAGTATTCCGGCCTGGAGAATTCCACGGACTGTGTAGTCCATGGGGTCACAAAGAGTCGGACACAACTGAGCGACTTTCACTTTCTCAGGCTGCAGCCTGACTGACACACTCAGGAACTGGAAGGGGATGCTGCTGCGACAAGCAACGAAGTATGTAGTTCAGGTACTCTCAAGACCTCAGTGAAAGCAAGATAACAGTAAGGAGAGTGAAAAGGTATAAACCCTAATCTCTGTGTTATAAGCAAGCAGCTTAGCTTGATACATAAGCTAGATTTTTTCCATTCTTAAAACCTCACTAAAACAAAGGAAATACAGTAAAAAGATTCCTTTTTAAAAAAAATCAAAAAATACAGAGAGAGCAGAGAGGCATGTAACCACAAAATCATTTTAGAAGCTGAGAAGCAGATGGACTAGTGGAAAATTATTTAGTAGACCTGAGCCAAATCCTAAGACAACAGAGGAAAAAGCAACTGTGGCATTACTTCAGAACTTGGGGTGGAGAGGATGGCTTAAAGATGGAATTCAGGAAAGCCCATGAGAAACAGATTTCTGAAATCCGAGCTACAGGGTTAATGCATTTCCCTGAACTCAGCAGAAGCCAGGAGGCTTTTCAGCCTGGAGAATACTGAGAGGATTCCTGGACTAGGTTTCACGAGGCACAGATCAGAGAACTGGTACCATTCTGAAGAGAGAGGGATTAAGGGACTGCATGCAGCCATACTGATACTGAGTCACCTTCCTCTGCAGAAAGAATTCAGATCAGGGGTTAACCCTCTCTCCTCACAAGCAGCACAAGCAGCAGGAGATCATCAAGAGAAAAGAGTCAGAGAAATCAAAAGAACTCCCATGAAACTCTCAGGAAAGCGGAGGAGGTCCCAGGATGAGGGCTCACACCAGACAGAGAGAGTAAAAAGTCTGGTCTGGAGCAGGGACTCAAGACAGAAATGTCAAGAGTTATTAGCACCAGGGCCTCTGGCTCTTCTCTTAATGAAGAGAACATTAAGGTGATCCTGGCCCCATTCTCATTTGCAAGGAGACCAAACCAGTCAATCCTAAAGGAAATCAGTCCTGAATATTCATTAGAAGGACTGATGCTGAAGCTCCAATACTTGGGCCACCAGATGCAGAGAACTGACTCATTGGAAAAGACCCTGATGCTGGGAAAGATTGAAGGCAGGAGGAGAAGGGACGACAGAGGATAAGATCGTTGGATGGCATCACTGACTCGATGGACATGAGTGAGCAAGCTTCGGAAGTTGGTGACGGACAGGGACACCTGGCGTGCTGCATTCCATGGGGTCGCGAAGAGTTGGACATAACTGAGCAACTAAACTGAACTGGCCCCATTCTCACCTCTCTTAGGCTTGATTGACATGAGCTGACGTCCTTCCCACTCCTCAGATCAGCAGGAGAAGTCAGCATTTACTCCCCTGGAGGGCTCAGCTTTGGTTTACCACTGAAATCAAGAGGATGGTCGCAGTGAGCATGGAACTGCAGTCAGCAGCTCCAGCCCTCTGACCGTACTCCTGCCACACCATGAGGACTCGGTTTATGCACAGCACGGTCACACACTCCAAGCGTGGTGGACCCAGTGGCCCCAGGACCCTTTCAAGTCTCTGCTCACTGATTTCCCCAAGAGGAATGGCACTTCAAAATCCCCAGGAAAGCTTAGAGTTCCCCCTGACCCGGAGGTCACACTGCTTCTCCAGCCAACGTCGTCCAACAGCAGCAGAGCTGCCCTCTGCTCTCATAGCTCAGTGGGTGCTTGAAGCCTGGTGTCCTCAAAACCGCACACAGTATTGTTTCAAAACACCTCCACCGGAGGGTGAAAACAGAAAAGCGAGGGAAGCGTTAAACCACAAGTCAGCCCAGCACTCCCTCTGGGACAGGGAGAATTCAGGTGTGCTGGGCATTAAGCGGGCTTTCATTAGCAGTGGCATTCTGTTTCTTAGAGACAGACACGCGTCTATTTTTTAGACCATATGTTTACACTGCAGATGCCCTCCTGCATGTCTGACACATTTCATGGTTGAAAAAAGACAAAAGCTATAAACTCACAATAGCAAGGAGAACTAAAGGCGAGACCATCAAGAGTCTGGAGACTACATTCCAGAAGGCATGCGCACACAAGAGAGTCTGCATGATTGAAAATAAGGTCCAAGAAACCCACAGAGAGAAGCGCAGCTGAGGGGGCAGAGGATAAGGCCTGGCTGGCTGTGCAGAGCGGGGCCTCGGAGCCCCGTCCTCAAAGAAAAGACTGTCGTCCCACACCAACTGTTTCCCCACTGTGAGTTCTGCTTGCTCCATGCCCCACCTGCAACTCCTTATATTTCTTTCTGTCTTTGGCATTTGTGACCCATGTGGCCCTCTGCACTGTCAGCCCCAAGGAGTGGGGTGCTGGGGGCGGGGGTTGGCAGCAGCTCAGGTTTCCCAGTCCTAAATTCCAGTTGTCCCACCCCTTCGGTCAGCCTCAGAGCCTCGCTCCAGCTGAAGAGGCCCAGGACTTTGGCCCAGGACTCTGGGTCCCGATCCCTTCAGGTTCTGCTCCTGCATGTGAGGCATCAGGGACTCCTCCAGCCTCCAAAAGTCACGTGTCTCAAGGTTCCCAGAGCTGGGGTTTTGCTCAACCTCCCCAGGGCTAGGAGGAAAGTCCCACTCCCTACTTATAACTCAGATGTCAGCACGGGATGGGGCCTCAGAGATTGTCTTGTCTGCCCTGTCTTTGGAGGCCCACGCGAGATGTGTCCAAGGTCTCGAGGCTGCAGCTAAGTCAGTTCTGCTTTCCAGAAGGCTCTGAGGCTGTGTTACGCAGACGCCACCTGGGGGCAGAGGCTGTGCACTTCCACCCCCTGCCTGGGCTCTGCATGGGTTACAGACAAGCACTTGTCCCCGCTCCTGGCCTTCCAGCCACCCTGGAATGGGCTTTTGGGCCCAAACAATCTGCCCAGGAGAGTCGAGGGTGGTCTCACACTGCAGTCCCTGGGCCAGGCTGGGTCTTCTTCACCCCCGGGGCACAGCCTGGGCCTCGCCCCCTGGTAGACATAGACAGGGACCCGGCTGAGATCACGAGGGGATCCTGGTGTCCTTCAAGCCCCTTTGCTTTTCGCGGCCCAGCCAAAACCTGCAGATCGAACATGAGCCCCCAGGGCAGCACTGGAATCTTAACACACATGAGCTGCCTGGTTACAGCCAGCGCCCGCGCTCTGCTGGACAGATGGACACATGGGAGGCAAGGAGGGAGTCGGAGGGGCTGACACTGCAGGTGAGAGGGGCGCCCGATCATCGTGAGAGCTGGAGGGAACCTCACAGGACGGCCAGCTCCAACCACGTGGCGCAGCGGGGGACGCCTGTCTCAAACATAGGAACGAAGAGCTGAGGAGGCGGGGGAGAGGTGGAAAACACACGAAACACAGGTGTCTTCACAACGAGTTACAGAAATTGACCTTTATTTATTGTACTAAAGTCTGTTTAACTTTTGATACAAAGGAAGGTTTTAGTACAGAAAACCCCAGTCTGTCCGAACAGTACCCGTGCACACTGTACCATCTCTGTGCCAACCCCGGCCGCCCAGAGCAGTGGCCCCGCGGGTGCCAGCGAAACCCCGCGACGGCCTGCGGTTGGTCCTAGCTGTCGGAGCCAGAACGCGTGTACCTGTGAAACGAAGGGCAGCACTGAGACTGAAACATGTCTCCTTGCGAACAACTGTGCAAGAAAATATATCCCTTTTTAAAAAAATGTCAGTATGGCTAAACTATAATCTAGTGTCTAGAATTACAAAGAATAAAATGAAATCAGCGATTTCTTGCTAGTAAAATGAAATGTTAGGAACAGTATTAAAATAGAGGTCCTACCCCAGTGACACTTACCCGGAGCCCCGTACAGTACCTATTATTAACAGGACGCACAGTTTAAGGAGGAACCACATCAAATCTTCAGCCAAAAACATCTGGCATCAGATGCGTTAAAAAACAAAACAAAACAAAACAAAGACATCCTCGTGGAGCTCTGCTCATGTTGTGAGAGCTGAAGCCAAGACTAGATAGATCCCAGTTTCTCTTTCTTGAATTTTAACAGTGACCACATTGATCCTTAAGCTTCCGTAAGAGCTCTCTATTCAGAGTCTGAAATACAAATTGTTTTTAGATCAAACAGAGCTGATGTGCCTGCCCCATTGTAAAGCATTTGGGAATTACTCTGCAAAATCTGCACTGGTAAAGGCTGTCACTATTCACAGAACCTAAGGAGGACCCAGTGGCACGTCTCAGCCCCAGCCTGACACCCTGCCCAGAATTGGTTGTGTCACAGGGAACCCATGAAGCTCTGAGGATCAGAGAGAACGCTGGAATCATGAACACAGGTGGATGAGAAGCAAGAGGTGGCAGAAGGCAGGAGACGACGTCTGAGGGATGGGCCTACAAGACGGCGGAAGTCGCCTTCCTAGGTGCAGGAGGAGAACACACGGCCGCACAAAGGCACTAGCTCCGCCCGCACCCACCAACGGTCGAAGCAGCCGCAGTCACAGGGGCCTTCCAGGAGAGGGGCCGCCGAGGAGCAGGGCATTCATCAGAGCTCTGGTGCCCCTGACAAGAGCCTCCCAGAGCAAAGCGGCCCCCAGAGTGGTTCCAGAGGCGTTTCGCTGAAAGCGGGCAGAAAACCAACATGAAAGCCACAGTGAGGAGGAGGGCGGGGCTGGGCAGCGGCAATGTGGAGCCGTTCAAGTAAACATCAGCAACCGAATACTTAGAAAAGGCTTGTAAACTTGTGATCTGAAGGGTTATCTTTGCAGCATCTCTGTTGAGCTGGCTACAAGGAAGGTTGGTGTCGAGTCCCCCACCCCACAGTCTCTGTCCTAAAGCACACACATGTGGGAGAAGCATAGTCTGCTGGCCGGGGTCCGGATCCCGTCCGTCTGTGGCCTTCCGTCTACAGAGGAGCTGCTTCTGGAGCCCCGGTTCACGGATCCCTCCCCTTCATGTTTACACACAGAGGTGTCTATCCATAGTCACTGCAAAGAGCTGCGCCAGGCGGTGGGGCTGGAGGCCAAGCTACAGTCGTCCCCAGGGCTGTGCTCTAGAGAGGGCAGGCTGGGATCCACAGGACTTTATTTTGCTCTTGATTGACCACGGCCAAGATCTGAGTGCAAATGCTCGACAGGGCTCCTCCCTGGACGACCCCTGCAAGAGAGCCCCCAAACACACACGTCATTGGCTCGGAGGAAGACGCCCAGGAGGAGGCAAGTAAACAGATCTTTCACTCTTCCTGCTGCTCTGCCCGTTTTCAGCTACTTGGCTCAACTGCTCTAACCCTGCCTTACTTCTCTTCCATCAGCAAGAAATTGGAAAAGGAAAAGAGTTGAGTGCAAATCACTTCGGCTTTTTATCTATCCCTCTCGGCAACTGTTTGCACGATGTTAAAACCTGGGGCTCACACGAAGGCTGGTGTCTGATTTTGCCAGGCTGCCCTGATCCCTGTAACCGGGGTGACAGGATGTGACTGTGCACATGATTTGCCAGGCCCCACAGCAGTGATGACCCGGGCTGGTGTGCCTCGTCATGCAACGGGGAGTCCCAGCATACTGGACAGCAGTCTGGGGTATGTTGTGACGGTCCAGTCGGCAGCAGGATGCTAGAGGGAACAAGGCTGGGTCTCGAGAGCTGGGCACCCCGTGGCCCAGAGAAGACTCTCGGCTCAGGCCTGCTGCCCGGCAGGGCTTCATCACCACGGCCCAGGAGACACTGGAGGAGGGCTCTGTGCGTGCTCCATGGGGCAGCGCCACGCCCTGGCTACTTGCCACAGATACTGACAGTGAGCGTTTAGAAACTGCTACGGCAATGTGACGGAGTAATTTCACATCTGCTAAATCTGATAAAAAGTCAAAGTCTGTATGGTGTTGAGTTTTGAAGTTTTAAATTTTCCTTTCTCTAGTAAATTGCTAAAGTATTTAACTGAAATATCGGTCTGTAATGGATGTGAAATTAAAACACACACATACACACAGAAGAGCTGGGGCTGGGTTCTGAGACCAAATATTGCATGAGAAGCACCAATCATAATAACACTCTATACAAGTTAAATTAAAATCAGTCTCCACCTCTCTTGACCACAATGTTGTTTGTTATGCCCCCTACAAATGATTTCACGGGAGAAGTTGGAAGCCACCAAGTACTATAGCAACTGCTACATTAGAGTTTCTTTTAGTTTGCCTTGTTTCAAAGACGAGACAGTAATGGTGCAGTTTGTCTTCAAACTCCACTGCAAAACTGGCCTACCCTGGAGGGTGCTGGGGACGGATGGTCACAGCTACCACCGCTGTGCCACCTGCCTGGGGGGGAGGTGCCGGAGCTGTGCCACGCAGCGGCTGTGCAGCCATAACTCAAGACCAGATTGTGACCCGAGGCCAGAACTAGTGAACTTTACCTTTGGACCGGCAAGTCCCCGATGCCGCCCTGTGCCTGCAATGAGATCATCTGTAATCAAAGTGCTCACTGCAGTGGCATCACCAGGCACCCCGGAAGTGCGGGCTCTAACCACTTCTAAGAAGGGCATCCTTGGGAAGGCTATGTCCGTCCTTGCCACCCGCTCCTCTCTGGGCCTGACGCACACCTACCTGTGAAGTACCGGCTGTACTCCTGTTCAATCTTCTGAGCCGTCTCAAACTGCTCTTTGGAATGCCTCTGAGTCACCTTGTCCTTCAGGTAGGTGGGGTCTCTCTGCTCCCTATCGGGACATCCAGGAACCTGGCTGAGCCTTCCCACCTTCCCCATGCCCTCCTCTCAGCCTCTCTGTCCAGAGTAACGGGGCTACCCCCCCACCGCACGTGCACCCCTGGTGGAGCACAGCACAGCCTGCTGGCCCCACAGGGAGCTCTGGGCAGAGACGGGGAAGAGACCAGATGCCCCAGCTGGCCCCCAAGTGCAGGTACCAGAAGATGGGGAGCGCCAAAAGGCAGAGGCAGGGGGCGGGGCGCGGGGGCTTGGCAAGTCATTAGCCTAACCACAAAACTGAGCTCAGTAAGACCAAAGGCCCGTCCACATCACGTCTGCTGCCGGGAGAGCTGGGCCACCCATTTCCTGTGTCGTGAGCACCAAGACGGAAGGCAGGAGAGGGAGAGGGTGTGTGGGGGTCAGGAGGGAGATCTGCAGACGAAGTGGCACAGACTCGAGGCGCTGTGGCAGCCCCCAAACAGTCGGGAGAGGGATGGGGAGGGCTGTGCTGGGTTAACACGACTGGCTCGGTGTGAGATGGACATGTGGGGGAGGGTCACTCGACACAGGATGCCTGTTTCGAAGCCAGGGCCCCGCCACCTCCCATGGCTTTGAGCCAGCAGCCCATGCCCAGCAAGGCCTGGGCCGAGCCCCTAAGGAGCCTGGCACCTACTTGATGTGCTTGGCGCTCTTGTAGTGGATGAAGATGACGATGGGATAGATGTGCATGTGGTGTAGTCGCTCGATGGCGTGGGGGGCGACGTCCAGGAGACAATGCCGGTTCTGCAGGGAGGGAGACGGTGAACACCCGGGCGGGGCAGGGCTGGGCCTCAGGAACCCAGCCTTTGTCTGCCACGGAGGGGCCCCACCCCTCACCTGACACTGCCCGGCCTTGCCCCATAAGTGAATACATAAGGTGCTACTGATGAACAAGGCAGCAAAACCATTCTGACATGAACAGGGCATGTGACAAATGGTGGGGAAACCTCATCTAGGGAAAACTCTCCCCACAAGGCTGTCAGCTTTGATGATGGTCAAGGTTGGGAACGGGGGCTGTGTGGGGTCTGGACAACCCAACTCCAAACCTCTTTCCTGCCTTTACCCAGATACAGGAACTTTCTAAAGCGCCACCCCACCTGGCCTCAGAAACCTTACCCAGAAAGCCAATGGGTACCTTTTCTGTGATCTCCTTTATGGAAGCCACAGTGGTCACGTCAAAGTGGCCACTCCTCCGCTTGTAATCGACAAACAGGCAGTCTTTGACGCCCCGCTCGATGGCCTGCTGGGAGGCCTTCATCACCTCTGCAAAGCACAGACACAGGAATCAGCAGGTCTGGCACTGTGAGCCATCACTGCACGGGCAGGGGAAAAAACACTGTGCAGAAACCCAGCCCTGCCATCCTCACTCCCAGAGAAAGAACCAGAGGCTAAACGCTGATGCGACCCAAGTCAGAAGGACTCTGCAAACACTGTGAGATCCATCCCTGGGAAGCAGGTGAACACAAACACAGGGACAGACGCAGCCCAGGAGGCCCGAGGGCTTCCCTTACCAAGGGGGCATCTGCAGAACTTGCCGGGTGCCTCGTTGACCAGCATCTCCTTCACCACATCCAGGAAAGGCCCCAGGATCAGGACGGGCCTCAGGGAGGTGCAGTCCACCTTCTGGACCCGTTGATAGGCCAGGCTCACTGAATCTGAGGGGGAGAGGGCAGCAGGGGATGGGCACCCAACCCAGAGCAGAGGGGGGCTGGGACGGGCTGGGGACCCCCTGCTCCCCTGACCTGGCTTACCCCAGGCAGACCTATCTTCTGCACTCCACAGACCCAGAGCCAGGTACCCAGCTTACCCTGGTCTGCCTGGGGCTCACCCAGTTTTAGCACTGAGAGTCCCACACCCCAGGCACACCAGGGCAGGGCCACTGCACAGTGTCCCCACTCCACGGACACCCAAGGCGTTGCAGCACTTTACTCTGCTCAGACTCTCCGATGTGTGTTCAGTGCGTGGTCCCCTGACTCTTATTAGACATTCTGTTCTCTACAGGTGCCACCTCCCCTGGGGGGGGGTCGTGTGACCCAGACCCGCCCCCTGCAGTGAGCAAACTATCCCCCTCCCCAAGAGCTGAAATGGACAGGACGAGAGGCAGCGACCCAGCCCTGATCCTGCAGATGACGACAACCCTCAGGAAATGATAGAGCCACGAGACAAAAGGGACCTGGCTCCCTGATGGTCCCCAGAACAGAGCTGCCTCCAAGGGACTACCCACCAATCCAGACTTTTACGTGGCAGAGAAAGAAGCTTCTTATCATGCTTCAGCCATTGTTATTTAGTCTCAGTTATAGCACCCAAACCAATATCCTAGTTGATACATGTAGTTAAGCCTCCCCTTCCACAAAATGAATAAAAAATCCTCGCAGAAAGAGATAGCCTAAAACCAGCATGCAAATATCTTCCTGACACCTCCCAGGTACCAATCACTGTGCTGGCATCTCAGAAACACTTTTTAAAACTTGTAAACACTTTTAAAAGAATAGAAAACACAGACCCAGGGCAAAGAACTTCTTCCAAGAAGAGATAAAAACACTCCGTCTTTTAAAACTTTGAACATGACAGGTAAGCCAGGCATCCTCTCCGACCCGTCTTCTCCAGTCTTGGTCCCTGGCAGCTTCCTCTCAACTAGCATCATAGTTGGTTATGAGGATTTAAAGCATATCCCATGGACAGAGGAGCCTAGCGGGCTACAGTCCATAGGATCACAGAGTCAGACATGACTGTACTATATCCTTCCAGAGGTCAGTCTTCTATGTTGACTTTTACGTGCTCAGAAAACCTAGAAAATGTGTATGTCCAACAAAAATGACCTACAATAAATATTCTGCAACTCCCTCTTTCACTCAGTCTTATGTTTCTGTTGAAAGCATCCCTGTTGATTCACACTGATCCCCTTTTATCCTTTGGAACATCCTAAAACACAGATGCACTGCACCTATCCATCTCTCTGTGTATGGACATTAAGACCATGTCTTCAACTCAACAGAATCTCGTCTTCTCCCCTAATGACTATTAACATTCCACACTGAGGGGCACCAATTTAGCAGTTTCCTGATCCTCTCAGAACAGTCTGCTTTGTCAGAAGTCCTCACAATAACAGAATCATAGAGGCTACAGGGCCTCTCACAAGCATGATATCCAACCAGAGTCAGAGGCTCACAGAAAATAAACTCCCTGGGAAGGGTAAATATACAAACATACAATCTGGAAGCAACCTAATGGAGGTATGTAGACTACTTTTAAAACTGGTACAGATATTAAAATCAAAAGCATAAAAGTAATTATATACCAAATATTCACATAATATAAAAGGAGGTAATTGGTGTCATCCATAACATAAGGGGTGGGGGGAACAGAGAGATGTAGCTTTTATATAAGATTGAAATTAAGCTATCATCAGTTTAAAATGATATCGCAGTCCTGTGCTGATACTCTATCGTCTGTTTCTCCCTTCAGTCTCATCAGTCTTCACTTTACTGTGATATCCTGGTTTCAGCGATGGATGGTACCACCAGAGCTGTGCTGTGCTCAGTCACTTCAGTCGTGTCCGACTCTCCGTCACCCTGTGGACTGCAGCCCACCAGGCTCCTCTGTCCATGGGATTCTCTAGGTAAGAATACTGGAGTGGCCTGCCGTGCCCTCCTCCGGGGGATCTTCCTGACCCAGAAATTGAACCCTCGTCTCTAATGTCTCCTGCACTGGCAGGAGGATTCTTTGCCACAAGCACCACCTGGGAAACCCAGCACAATCAGACAGAAAATCAATCAGGAAACAGCACTTGAACAACATTATAAACCAATGGACCTAACAGACTCCCCCCTAGAGCCTCCAAGGAAGTATGGACCAGCCAACACCTTGATTTTGGCCCTACAGTACTGATTTTGGACTTCTGGCTTTCAGAACTGTGAGAGAATAAATGTATACTGTGCTGACCACAAAGCTTGTAACATATGTTGCAAAAGCCCCAGGAAATGATACGCAGTGAAAGCTAGAGGACAATGAATAATATCTTTAAAATGCATAAATAAAATATTGACCCAACTACAATATTTCTATATCCAGGGAAAATCTGCAAAATCATGGGAAAATTGGCAAACAGAAACTGCGACTGTCACCAGCAAACCTGCATCATAAGAAATGCTGAAGATCAAAACAAGAAAATGGTAATTACATGAGGTAAGGGCACAGTCCATGGGGCTGCAAAGAGTCAGACATGAGTGAGGAGCTGAGCGCGCACACACACACACACACACAAAGGGTGTGTTAACTATAGCTAACCTTATTGTGGTTAATCTTTCGCAACTCATATACATATCAAATTATCATTTTGTACACCTTAAACTTACACGATAATATATGTCAGTTATATCTCAAGTTGGAAAAAAAGAAATGCGGAAGGGAGTATATAGCAGAAAGAAAAAATCAGAGGAAAAGAGGATGACAGGAAGGAATGAAGAATAATGGAAAGGATAAATATAAGTGAGTGACTGGTGTGTAAATCAATAACACTGCTGGATTTAAAAATACATATAAAATGAAAATGATAATCAAGCAAAAAGTAGGGAAGAGGTAAGGAAGTCACGGTGTTCTGATGTTTTAGAATTATTGGGGAAGTGGTCAAAGTCATGATTCATGTTAGTAGTAAGTCAGATATACATTGTGAGGGCTGCTGTAATCACCAGCCCCAAAAGAATAAAACAAAATGAATAAAAACTAAGAGACTGAGGAGGAGGCAGGAAAATAAAAATGCTTGATTAATCCCAAAAAAAGTAAGAAAAGAAAGGGAACATAAAATAGGCAGGATAAGAGAAAACAAATAGTAAGATGGTAAATGTATCAGTGATGATTTAATCAGTAATTAAATACTCTGATTAAAGGATAAAAACTGTCACTGATGAGTTCAAACGTGAAAACATCTCAGGCTGTACACTTTTCTATAGATAAATTTGCACTTTTCTATACACGTCTCAATAAAATGAAAAAAGATGAAGTGTCACAGTGAGTTAAAAAAAACCCTACATGCTATTTACAGAACCACGTAAATAGGAAGCTGTAAAAAAGGATGAAACGATGGAAAAAGATGAACTACGCAAACCCTTAACCAGTAGAAAACTGGTGTGATAATTATACTTAAACAAAATAGAGTTTAAGGCCAGAAACATTACTAGAAATAAAACATTTTATAATGATAAAAGGGTCAATTTAACAGTAAGATATAACTATTTAAAGACAACTTCAAAATATGTGTGTGCACACTAAGTCGCTTCAGTCACGTCTGACTTTTTTGTGACCCCGTGAACTGTAGCCTGCCAGGGTACTTGGTCCATGGGTTTCTCCAGGCAAGAATAGTGGAGTGGGTTGCCATACCCTTCTCCTGGGGATCTTCCCAACCCAGGAATTAAACTGCATCTCTTATCTCCCCTGCGTTGGCAGGCGGGTTCTTGACCACCAGCGCCACCTGGGAGCACCCCCATGACTAGACAAATGGCTATTTTCCAAAGACACCCACTGGATATATACCACAGACCAGAGGTGGTGTCTACAGAAGAAAAGAGAAGGGAGAATCAAGGAACTATTATTGTGAAAAGACAAATAGTCTTTTTTTTTTTTTTTTTACATTTTAAATTAAAAAATGTAAAACCCTATTTTCAGCTCGAAGGCCATATAAGAGCAGGCAGTGAACCAGATCTGGCCCATAGGCTCTGGTTTGCCAACCCCTGACCTGACTATCGTGACCTTGGGCCATGAAACAAGGGTGGGACTCACTCAACTCACTGTGCCGAAGACCTAACTGAAATAACACATGCGGAAGCAGGGAGGAGGAAGCCAGCCATCCTGCCTTCGGAGGCCCACTGCCCCCTCCAGAGCCTGCCTATCAGGGAGGGCACACCTTCCAGGACAGGGGTCACACCCGGGGGTCCAGGGAGCAGCATTCATAGGAGCCTCCTGCTTTACAGGACAAATATACCCTTCCACAGGGCGACCTGCCAAAGGATGTCTGGCACTCCCTGACATGCGACCCCAGGACTGGGTGGGTGCCTGGCCCTGGGAGGATCTTGTAAGGATAGACTCAGGAGTAAAGCCAGAAAGATCTGCAGAGTGGCCCCTGGTCACACCAAACAGCCTGGAATAACCCCAAAACAAACTAGAGGCAATGCATTGGGAAAGTACTGCCTTTTGCCCACCCAATACCCTTTCTTCTTTTCTTCCTTTCTAGGAGAAGCTGCTTTACTGAAGCCAGCAGGGCACCAGTGAAAACCTTGCCATTTCAGCCTCTCTTGCAGTTGCAAGCAGTCAATGAGGTGTAAGTGGAAAATGAAGGGTGGGGCTTCCAGATAAGCTGTTTAAAGAGGCATACTGTTGCCATGTCCTTTTCTTCTCCTTGCTGCCTGAACATGGATGTGATGGCAGGAGATGGGGAGACCTTAAGGACAGAGGACACATCCTACAAGTGGTAGACTCTGAAGACCGCAGTGCCACCATCCCAACCCAGACACACGTTCCTTGATCAGTTACTTCTGAAAAAAGCAAACCTCTGCCTTGTTCCAGTCATTGCAGTGAGGCTTCTGTGGTCAACAGCAAACCTCAGCCTGACCGCCTGCTGGAGAAGCCAGCTCAGTCACTTGCCTTCAAAGAGTGGAATGGAGTCATTGGAAAAGGTGTCCAAGGCAAGGAGGTCTTTCCCATCTTTGGACCCGCTGCGTTTGTGCTTATGTTTCCTTCGAAAGAAGGATCTGCGTGCAGCCGCCGAGAGCGTCTTTGCGGCGCTGTTGTCATCTTTGACTTCAGACATGCTGAGCCTCCGGGAGAATTCTTGGTCCATTCTGAAGACAAGAGTACAGCAGTGCTGGGAAGGGCGGAGGGACCATCGCCTGTCGCCCTGCCCACCTGCGGCGAGGAGAGTCAAAGCTGGGGCTCCAGGTTCCTCCCCCACCCTCTGCGGGTTTCCTGGCCACCTTAGCACCCAAGCCACCGAGCACCCCCTTGGTGCCAGTGCTGTGGGGGTGAGACACACACCAGTGCTGGGCAAGTTCTCAGAGCAGCTCAACTCCTATGTTCAGATGAGGGTCAGAGGGAACTGCTAAGACAGCCTTCACTTGTGACACTAAAGGTTATCATTCCAGCCACAAAACGAAGGAAAGCATAGAAATGCACTATAACATGGAAGAACCTTGAAAAAAATCATGCCAAGTATAGGGAGTTGGTCACAAAAGGCCACCTGCTGTATGTATGACTCCATTCACAGAAAGTCCAGACAGGGAACCTTATAGAGACAGAAAGGAGACCAGTGGTGGCTCAGGGTTGGCAACAGGGGGCAGGGAGACAGGAGAACAAGGCGGGGAGCTGAAGGGTACAGGCTTCACTCTGAGATGATGAAAACATTCTCAAATTGACTATGGTGATGGTTACACGTATCTGTGAAAACACTAAAAGCCAAGGAATTGCATACTTTGGGTAAATCGCATGGCACATGAATTATATCTCAACAAACATAAAAGAAGCATGTCTCCTAAGTTGCTGCCACACTTCTGTATTGTATACACTTCTGACTTATATACATCACTGACCTAAACTTGGAACAGCTTTTTGGACAAGCTACTTTGGCAAAACTTACAGACCAGAAACTGAAACAACGTCAGAATAAGCCCCCAGCAGCCCAGGCCGTCATCACACGGGACGTCCCCACGGGTGCCACCCGCCTCAGCCCCAGGCCCAGACTCTAGAACACTCACACATATTTGCTGGGGATCTGCCCGCGCTGGATCTTCTGGGCATTCTCATCCAGCTGCCAGGCCATCCAGGACCCAAATGAACCCTGGGGCAAGGTGTCGTCCACGTACAGGATGTCATCTTTCTTAAAGCTCAGCTCGTGCTCCACCTCTGCCAGTCGCTCATACAGGGCCCTGGACCAGGAGATGGAGGGGAAGAGTCAGGCCACAGGCCGCCCTTTAGAGCCAAGCTCCCAGGGCCACTCTCCTGCTCTGAAGCTCTCCCCAGACCACGATCAGGACCCATCTCTCCCCATTCTAGCAGCAGTTCCCAAAGGAGGAAGCCCGGGCTCCCTGGAGATCAGGGCTCCCTCACGCCCATCAGATAAAAGCCTTTCTGCCAAGGACCAGGGCCATATCTCCACTCCCAAAAGAGTCTTTCCCATTTGCACCCCTCCCACATCAAAGTCGATGCTTCCTACACAGAGGAAACTTCTCAGAAGGGAAACCTGCCATCCTTGACTGAGGAGGCTGTGCCTAGACACTGGGACCCCGCACCTCATGGTGCACAGTTAATCAGTACTTTCCATTCCTGTGTGGCCTCAGATCTCATGAAGAAAGCTGCATGCCTCCTAGAAAACGCCTGATGCCTATCCCCGCCCCCTACTCCACCCTTTTCATGTATTACTTAAGGGCACTCTGGATGCTGTGACGTCCACACACGCCGCAGAGCAATCTGCAGACCTGAGTCAGGAGAGACGCGGAGAGGGGCACAGGCCACAGGAAAACAAGGCTCAGTGGTGTCAAGCTTCCCCAGGCCCAAAACCCTAAAGAGAGAGCCCATCTCGCCCTAGGAGCTTTCAAGGGCTTTTCTAAGTCACAAGCATCTCATCATAAGCTTACAGTTTGGGGCCCAGGTAATAATGCTCATAGTCCCGTCCCTCAAGGGCAAGAAACGCAGGGACATTCACAGGGAACAGTTTCCACCGAAAGCCTCTCCCCAAGCCCCCAGTCCCTGGCAGCCCTGGCCACTGATACCTGATGTAGAAACTGTCGCCAGGCAGGCCCTTGACCTTGGAGAACTCCTCGGGGCGGTACTGCACCTTCAGGCGGACGCTGTCCTTGGGCTTCAGCATCTCCACGTAGACCTCCTCCACCGTTTTGCTGCGAACATCCAGACCGCCGTACTACCGAGAGATGGGAGACAGGGATCAGAGGGCAGAAGCAGGGAGGGCTGGGCACCCGTGAGGGGCCAGTAGTGGGATAAGGAGGAGATTCAGCATCCCCATCACTGGGCATCCATCTGCCCCTCATCCACAGAGGCTGAGGCCTCTGACGAGTGGCTGCTCTGCCCTCAAGCTGCTCCCAGCAGAGACCCTGTTCTAGCCCCCGAGCCAGGAAGGCCTACTGGAAATATGGCACTTCCCCTTGCTAACGCTCCTTGTAGCTTTCAGTACCTACAACCTACCTCCCCCATCCAACAGGAGACCCAGCGAGAGGGAGATGGCACTCACCATCAGACTAGAGTCCTGAGTCCTACTGATGCCAGGAGCAGAGCATCTGTCCTCCCGATGCGAGTGCCCAAGCTGGGTCCTAATATGCCTGCTTCCCTAATATTTACCTGGAGTGGGTCTGGGTAGCACTCAACAACCAAGGGGGATGCCAACAGAGGCTGTGCTCCCCCGCCTCCCATGTCACCTGAGACGGCAGGCAGCCCGACACGCGGGCAGAGGGCAGCCTGGCTGCTGCTCGGCAGCTCAGAACTTACCTCAAGGATGAGGTCCCCGGGCACAAGGCCGTCGGGGCCCTTGGCGGGACTGTCATCCTCCACCTCGGCCACAAACACCCCGTGCAGGTTCCCTCCACATAAGTGCACGCCAAGCTCCAACTGGGACTTCTTGATGAAGACGACTCGTGGCTCTGGGGTCTTCTTGGCGGCATCTGCCACCATCCTTTCAGGGAGGAAAATGAAGCTCTTCAATTGTGCACAGGAAGGGAGGCAGGCGCGAAAAAAGATGAAACAATGGTGACACCCTAACCATTTTCTGCTCCCCTCTCAGGTCTCATGAGGCCCCAGAACCAGAGGAGCCGGGAGCGGGGCTGACACAGACTCTACTTCGAGTGACCTGTTTTATAAGCAGGGCACTGAGATGTGGCAGAGGTGAACACACAGCCACTCCGGAACAGAGTGGACATCAACGCCACTGTTTCCAGCCCAGCTGTCCATCATATGCCATGGGTTGCATCTCACCCACCTGGATTGCACTTGTTTTCCTAACTTCATTCTCCTGAGAAAGTCAGAGCCAGGGTAACCTCCAGGCCACAACTCATCCAGCAAATGTTTACTGAGCAGTGTCTATGGCCCAGAGGGTACTGAACCAAAAGCCACCAAAGAATTCACAACACAGGGACACTGAAAGGCCGGCAAATAAACTGAGCAAAGGCAACGGGGCAGCAATGGAGCCTGATGAGTGGGACCTCAGGGGAGGAGCCAGAGAGTGACAAGACTTTTGCTGCAGGCAAGTATAGCCAAGACTTCGGGAGAAATATCAATAACCTCAGATATGCAGATGACACCACCCTTATGGCAGAAAGTGAAGAGGAACTAAAGAGCCTCTTGATGAAAGTGAAAGAGAAGAGTGAAAAGCTGGCTTAAAACTCAACATTCAGAAAACTAAGATCGTAGCATCTGGTCCCATCACTTCATGGCAAATAGATGTGGAAACAATGGAAATGGTGACAGACTATTTTCTTGGGCTCCAAACCACTGCAGATGGTGATGGCAGCCATGAAATTAAGAGACACTTGCTCCTTGGAAGAAAAGCTATAACAAACTTAGACAGCATATTAAAAAGCAGAGACGTCACTTTGTCAACAAAGCGCCATCTGGTCAAAGCTATGGTTTTTCCAGTAGTCATGTATGGATGTGAGAGTTGGACCATAAAGAAAGCTGAGCGCCAAAGAATTGATGCTTTTGAACTGTGGTGTTGGAGAAGACTCTCGAGAGTCCCCTGGACTGCAAGGAGATCAAACCACTCAATCCTAAAGGAAATCAATCCTGAATATTCATTGGAGGACTGATGCTAAAGCTGAAACTCCCATATTGGGCCACCTGATGTGAAGAACTGACTCATTAATAAAAGCCCCGGATGCTGGGAAGATTGAAGGCAGGAGAAGGGGATGACAGAGGATGAGATGGTTGGATGGCATCACTGACTTGATGGACATGAGTTTGAGCAAGCTCCAGGAGCTGGTGATGGACAGGGAGGCCTGACATGCTGCAGTCCATGGGGTCGCAAAGAGTCAGACATGACTGAGCTACTGAACTAAACTGAAGTGTACCCATCATGGGCACAGTGAAGGGTCACAAGCAGGAAAGCCCTGAAGATACCCCAGCTTCCAGCCTATGACTTCCGTGAAGAGTCCATTAACGCCATGCCAGAGAAAGGGCTCCGTCCAGGACTTCAGTGACAGCCTCTCGACCCAGCCTGCATAGCCCTCTCCCCACCTCCCCTCCAGTTCCTGAGAGAACAGGGCCTCCTCCTGCCCACACTAACGCTGGTCCCTCCTCCTGACTTCTCTCCATGCCCACCCTTTGCATGGTCAACCCCTACTCATCCTGAACGCTGTGACTCAGCTCCCAGCCGTGCTCCATCATGGCCCCCACTCGCCCTCCCAGCACTTCAGCTGTGCTGCACATGCCTGTTCACTGATCTACCCTCAAACCAGGAGCTCCTTGGGGGCAACACTGCTGTGGATGGCCAGAGCCCCAGCCTGGATGGGTGAGGACTGTGGGATTCAGTATCTGAGAACAAGTGAAGGGAGAAAAGGGGGAGATAAAGAAAAAAAGTAGAGCTAAGAAGGAGTCAGTGGAAAAACTAGAGAAAAAAGAGAGGGCAGGAGAGAGAGAGAGGGAAAAAGGACTGGCGTGCTCCCCACCCCAAATCCTGACAAGCTGGTGTGCCATCTGCAGTGCAGGGCAGCACTGGGACCCACGTCCCTCAGAGGATGTACACGGGCTGCAAAAATGACCCTCCTGGCCGCCCTGCTCAACCGAGGTGCACTGATGGAAGGCTCTTGGCAAGCAGTTACTGACCTGGAGCTGGGGGTGCTCTGCTTGGCTGGGGGTGTGCCAGGGCCCTCGTCCTGCTCCATCAGCGGGTCAATGACAGAGGGGTGCTCCGGGGTGGCAGCACCACTGCCCTGGAGAGTGGAGTGAATACCGACGGGGTCCAGGTGGGAGCTGGGGACCGAGGACAGATAGAATAAGGAGTGGCAGGCAGTTGCCCAGAGCCATCCCTCTATGGTGGTGTTGGGCTCTGGAATGTGAACAAAGACCAGGTCACACAGCTCTGTGATCTGAGCCCTGAGATGAGCAGGCGCCTTGGGAGCAAGGACTCAGTTGTCCACCTGCACGATCTGCCTGTCCTCAACTTGAGGAGCCTCTGCAACGGTGAGCCTGAGGACACATGAATGCACTGCTCCCCTTTCCTGTGTCTGAGCCCCTCAGCCCCTCCCTTCACAGGCGCTGCACCACGGGGGCACTTCTCACTCTCCTTACCTGTCCTGCAACCTGCAGCACACAGGCAGGTGTCCGGCGTCTGCCTGTGGGCAGGGGTCGGACCGCTCTATGTGAGAATCCACGTCAGGCCTCAGTGCCTGGCTACCACACACATGTGCCGAGGCGTCCTGCTTCACAGGGTGCCTGGCCACCTATTTCCACACCCTATTTCAGGAGGAGAAACCCTCCCCTGATATGTCTCTTCTCCAAAGCCCAAGGCTGCTCAACTCTCGTCTCAACAGTAGCAGAATCTCCAGAGCTTGCAGCTGTGGATTCCTCGGAGCAAGCCGCACACCTGCGGCCTCTTATCCTCCCGCAACCCAGATGCCCCCTCGGAGGCCCAGGACCTCACCTGGACCGGGAGTGGCTGCTGAGCTGCTGCATGTGCGGGTTGTACTGGGCCAGGATCGTGATGGTGTCACATTGCTGCCCGATGATGAGCCGGGCCTGCTGCTCTGTGGCGCTCCGCAGGTTGATGCCATTGAACTAGGAAACACCAAGAACGGGCTCAGCAAGGAGAAAGGAGGACACGGAGGAGGTCCTGGGGACTCAGAAAGGGACGAGGGGAGGGAGAGAAGGGCAACCTCCCGCTCACCTCAAGTAACTGGTCCCCATACTCAAGGCCAGCCTGGTGAGCGATGCTCCCCCCGGTCACCTTGGAGACGTAGACGCCGCCCTTCTCCCCACTCACGATGGAGATGCCCAGCGGCTCCGAGCCTTTCTGCAACTTCACATGGCGTGGCTCCTCCACGTAGGGCCTTGGAAGACAGCCAATGGTTTCGGGGACTCAGACTCAAAAGGTCTAGGGGGGATCTGAGGTCAGGCATGCATTCGCTACGCAGAGAGGGCCAGGGAACGTGGACGCTCCTATGACGACACAACTGGATGGGCACACGATGAAGTCCACCTTCGCACAACCTCATGCAATACAAACACGACCCCCAAGATGGACACAGAGGCATCCAGTCCCAAAGTCACAGAGTGGTCCGAGTGAACATAAACACTGACATACGCAGAGAAAAGCATGTAGGTTTCCATGAGAGGAGAGGAATGGCCTCAAGATGTGCAACTCAAACCTCCAGTGGGGTCTCAGACACCCTCGGAGGAAAAGAAGTGCTTTCTGGGATGACGTTTACCCCCAAAGGGACAATATGAAATATCAGTTTTTATATTTACCAGCACACAGGGTGATGCGAATTGATCATGAGATTAAGCTGCTGCAAACCCGAGGCATTTAAGAGGGATCGGGGAGGCTGGGAGCAAGGTGACACCATGCATTCACTGGCCCCAGGCCGCCGCCCACCACCCTGTGGGAATGAGGGGCATGGGGGCTGGGGTGGGGCCCTCCTGTCGGGCCAACCTCAGACTCCTCAGCGAGGAGGACCTGGGCCTGGCAGCCGCAGGCAATCTCAGGAGGGATCTGTGGTGGTGGAGGCATCTGGAAGGTGCAAAGGGTTAGAAAGAAGAGAGGGGTGATTGGAGGAGGAAGACAACCACAGACGCCTGGAACGTAACAGACAGACAGACAGCTTCATGACACTGAGCCACCAGGACCGCCCTGCACGCAGCCTGAGCTCTAAGCAGAGCACCAGCCCCTCAGGACCCCCTCCTCCAGAGCACATTGTGAATCCATGTGTGGAAGGGTGGGTGGGCAGCGGGGAGCCCTTTTTGAGGTAATCCTTCCTTTTTAATCTCCTGAATGGTTGAAACTTTTATAATATGCAGAGTTTTGTCAAAACAATAAGACTTCCTTGTAAAAGAGATTCGTAAAGTATACTTAATATTACAAATAGCTTGAAACATAACATTAAGGAGGAAATGGTTACATGTGTACAATAAGATAAAATGCATTTAAACTGTAAATGTAATACTTGTGTGTGCATGCATGCATGTGCACACCCCACCCCCCAAAAGGTTAAATAACAGCAACTGAATCTCTGGTTGATGATCAGTGGTCCCCAACCTTTTCGGCACCAGGGATCAATTTCATGGAAGACAATTTATCCACAAACCAGGGCTGAAGAAGATGGTTTTGGAATGATTCAAATGCATTACATTTATTGTGCACGTTACTTCTTATCTAATGCCACCACTGATCTGACAGAAGGTAAGGGTCTGAGATGTTGGGGGCCCCTGAATTATGCAACCTTTTTTCTTTCTAAATCCTCCTAAAACCATCTCCACCAACCCTGGTCCATGGAAAAATTGTCTGCCATGAAATATATCCCTGGTGCTGAAAAAGCTGGGGACCGCTGATCATCAGAGATTTAAATTGCTGTTACTTCTTTCTACTTTACCAGTTTACCCAGTTTTCAACAGTGATAGTGTATTTTAGACTGGGGAAAAGAGGGACTATTTTTAATGAGTAATCCATCCGTCAGCCAGGTCACACACATGTTAAACCTGATGTCACTTAAGCACCATGAAGGCAGGCATCATTGACACATACACACTCACACACATCGGTTCTCTGTGCCCTGTGGAAGAAGCTAAGGGGATGTCCGACTGCATGTGACAAGGCCCCTTCTGATTCTAAGGAACCCACCTTATGGGGGGGAAGCCCTGAGCTGGGGTTCAGTAAAACCACACACCCACCCCACACTCCTTCAGGGCCAGTGTGTGCTCCCGTCTGCACGACGCAGGTGAGGTTGTCATGAACACATCCATACACACTGCACCTGACACCCCTGGAGGCCTGCTGGCAGTTACAGGTATACGCTGTTCTCCAGTTCACACTTGCTAGGTGTGCTGTCTCACAAATTCAGACTGTCAAGTCAGATGAGGTTTTCTTAATGACGGGCCCAGCCAGCAGCATCTTTTCTATGGCTCATAGCTACGAGGGCCCTCGGCTTTTTGGACTGAAGTGGAGGAGAGTAGCTCTAGTCCTTGTAGTGTCGTTCAGTTGTGTCCGACTCTTTATGACCCTATGGACTGTAGCCCACAAGGCTCCTCTGTCCATGGTAATTCCCAGGCAACAATACTGGAGTGTGTTGCTGTTCCCTTCTCCAGGGGATCTTCTCGACCCAGGGATCGAACCTGCATCTCCTGCACTGAAGGCAGATTCTTTACTATCTGAGCCACCAGAGGAGCTGCAGTCCTTATAAGTAATTAAATAAAGGTAAATTTGAGCTTAATCCTATCTCCCACTACCATCTAGAGAGAACCCTGACAGCTGCTTTTCAAAATGAACCAAAAAATGACTAAGTTGTACGTGTATGCCTCATATACTTTTTTTTCCTATGTGTGTTTTATCTCACAACAAAAAGCTTGGGGGGCAGAGGTCAAGCAGTGCAGCTGTGTTCTGGGGTCAAAAAGCAAAGGATAAGAACGAGTCTAATTGGGGTAGGTTGATCGCTAACCAAGTGAGCGCAGACAGACCACTCCAACCTCCTGACTTCAGTTTCCTCACCCGTAAATGGGGTCAAGGATGACACTGCTGATCACGGGGTTACACGAGGATTTCACAGCTTACTATGTGGACAGTGCCTAAACAAGGGCCCGGAGGTAGTGAGTGGCATCACTCCAACAGTGTCAGGTCGACCCCAGCATCACTTGCTGGAGGCCCCCACCTCCGCCTGTGGGCACTCAGGAGAAGAGCGCACCCTGCCTCCCCGGCCAGCCAGATGCGCCCCTCCTCCTGCATCAGGAGCGCACGGGGCTTCCTCACCACGTCCCGCAGCAAGACACCAGCGAAGGCGAGGCGACCCAAACTGCAGCGGCCTCGCTGGAGGTCAACTCTGTTGGCCCTCCCCAACCCCTGGCACCTCCCAGGACCAGCGCTGGCCCACTGAAGGGGCGCCCGTCCCCTGTGCCTGCTCACCTGTCCTTCCTGCGCTCCCCGAGGGCCGCAGGGTTGACAGCAATCCTGGGCAACGTGGCGGCTGAGGTCTGCGACTGGCTACAGGAGGACAGGCCTTCGACGCTGAGGGGAGACTGCGGGGGCGTGCTGCACTCCGAGTGCGACAGGGAGCCTGCTGGACCCAGACACACGGCCGTGAGCGCAGGGGCCTGAGGCCTGCCCTGCCAGCATTTACGGATGGCGGAGGTGGTGGGGGAGCTGTAAGCAGTGCCCAGACCCCCCCCAAGCCTGAGACGGAGGGGCCAGCGGGGCAGGGAAGCACTGAGAAAGTCCTCACCTCTGTCAGAGCCCACGACAGACCGCGGGTATCTCGGCGTCGATGGGATTTTAATGCGTTCTGCCTTGAACTGCAAATTGCTCGAAGACCCTGTGGCTCCACAAGAAGACAAAAGTTTAGGCCTGCGACTGAACAGTGCCCCTCACTCCCTCCCCACCACCCTGGGAGTCAGGAAAGACAGGGTTACACAGAAGTAAGCGGGCCTGGCCATTTGTCCCTGGGGGCACCTATAAGGTGGGACAGTCAGGGAAAGCAGACGCTCAGTCCCCAGCAAGTGAATAATCTGTGCAGGGGGAGGCTGCCGCAGAACGGTATCACAGTCTGGCTCCAGCCCCAAGCCGACCGTAACCCATGTGACAGAGGTCACTGTGGCCTTGTCTCCACAAGGCTGGAAGCAGCCCCACCAGCGTGTCCTTATGGGGTAACTGCCAGACTCGACTCCGGGTGGCATTCTCTGTGATTGAATGCCAACACAACATCCCCCAGAATGACCTCAGGGTAGTGAGCAAGGCTCCTGGGCTAGAGGTCATCAGAACAACTACACGGCCTCCGTGGGAAGCTGCAGGAAGGCCACAGGAAAGGGCTCTGCGTGCAGCATGGAGTCAGCCTTGGCCCCGGGTCAGGAGAGGGGCCGCCAGGAGGTCTGGGCGTGAGGGTGTGGATGCAGAGGAAGGAAGGCTGGTGCCCGCTCCGGCGAGAAGGCTCCAGCAGCGCAGTTACCGAGGCGGGCGCTGGAGGGCAGGGAGTTGGACCCATGGGAGGCTCTCACGTCAGAGCAGTCGCTGCAGGCCCTGGGGCTCAGGTCCAGGCTGAGGCGGCCCTGGTGCTGGACACTGTGTGAGAAGCAGACACGTGAGGAGCTCAGGAGGAAGACCAGGATGGGACCAAGTGACTGGCTTTCCCGAGGCCCTCTGCCAGCTCAGAGCACCCCGAAAGCTGCTCCTGGGCAGCTGAGGACAGCGACCACCCACAGCCACACGCAGAGGGCCCTGCAAGCCCCGGGCCAGGACCAGGCTCAGTGGGACAGAAGGCTTTCTACAGGGGCTGCAGAAGATCTGAATCCAGGGTGGGCAGGGCGAAGCTGGACCGCACCAAGGACAGAGTCCTGCACCTCCCTCAGGGAAGCCCACCCAGGAGACTGGAGAGCTGAGGGCAGGGAGATGACATAGCCCATGTCAGGGCTGGCCTGAGGTCAGGCCCAACAATGACCTCCTCTAGCTGTGAGACTACATCTTGTCAGTGCTTGGAGCCTTCCAGTGGTCTTCACTGCACTCGATAAAACCCAAACTCTGCATCATGGCCACAGACCCTAAAGGGTTTGTGCCTTCCTCCTGACTCACCATCTGCCTCCCAGGCTCCCTCGAGCCCGTCACGTCTCTCTCAGACACCTGGGCTGCAGCACGCACAGCCCTCCTTCCCGGAAGCTCCTTCCCAAGTCCCGTGTGACTGGCCTCTTCTCGCCCCTCTGGTCACGGCAGCATGCCCCTGCATGGGGTCCTCCCCACGGCCCAACCGAACCTTTCACAGCCTAATCTGAACATTTTTAGGGTCTTCAAGGTCACTCAGTGCCATCTGATCTGAGTGGTTCTGTTCTCTTTTTAACACCCGCCCACCCCCGACTTGAACACAAATGCCACAGGAGAGGAAGTTTATCTGCTTAATTCTCCACTATAACCCTCTAAAACTGCAGCAGTCCATGGCATGGAGTAGATGATCAATTAAAATCTGTCAAGGAACTGAAGGAAGGAGTGACCTTGCATCAATCTATTCAGTTTTTAAGGCTCTATTCTCATCTATCAACCAAAGACTGTTAAGAGTAAGGTTGCTATAGCAATCAAGTGAGATGACGCTTATAAACGTCCGAGCATACTGCCTGGCACTCAGTTATCAGCTGCCATCACTACCATCTTCCTACAAATACCTTTTCAAGCTCCATATTGGTAAATGAAGAGAGCGACCTTAAAGTTTACTTTCCCTGGGATCCCAGTGCTACTCTACCAAGTCCCTCCCCCATACAGAGCCCCTCTATGTACAGTGGCTTTATGCCCAGGTAGGCTTGGATGGCTGGGGTACAGGGAGGCATGGGCGGCCTCACATACCTGGGATGCAAACCGTGGGGGCCAGCCTCTCTGGGGATGGGTGGAGAGCTGCAAGGGCCGACCCTGTGGCTGCGCACGGTGTAGATGGGGTTCCTCAGGACGGAGCTCACAGTGCTCGGGGCCATACTCCGGGGAACCGTGCCTGGAAACGGGTAGGGTGAGACATCTGCCCTGCAACACCTAGCTAGCCCCGGACCTATGCAAGCATCTGGCCCTTCTCCATCATAAAGCAGGAGAACTCTCTTCAATGCTACCTATTTCCCAGACTGCCATGAGGAGAAAACACTCTGAAAAGCTAAAAGATGTCACTGATAAAAGACGAAACACTCCAGGTAGGTCAGCAACTGCAAAATCTTTTGGACCGCTCTGTTGAGGACATGCAGCAGCTCCCTGAAATGACCATCTCCACTCTGCCTGAGGCTGGGCGGCCCTGTGAGCCCACGTTGACCCTCCTCCCCAGCCCTGCCCTGCCAGCTCACCCACAGATGCCCTGCTGGGGTAGAACGGGGGGTTGCTGTGCCGGCTGGAATGTCCAGGAGAGTAAGGGGACCACTCCTGGAGATCTGGGGAGAGCTCTCCACTGGCCGGGGCGCACTTCTGCTCCTGCAGAACCAAAGGCAAGAGGCAGTGGCTGGAAACAGGGAAACACATGGGCACTGGCAGGCAATTTCTGTCCTCTATGACCTAGCTTCTCCCAGCTCACTATTCATTCATGTTATCTTACACATCTGGAAAAGAAGAACTCCCTTCAAAAATACTTTGGAAGAAAACCACAGAGAAAGAATCTGTTCTTTCAAAGAAATAGATTTTGTGTGTAGAAGGTAGAACACATGTATGCCTCAGGCACATGTCTATAACAATTCCACGTGATTTGCCCAGCCACATGAAGCTCTGTGTCTGCTGAGAGGAGCATAGATTTGTTCTCCTGCTCATAGCCATCTCTCCCTCCTAGAAATGACCATTGCTGCTGCTGCTGCTGCTGCTAAGTCACTTCAGTCGTGTCCGACTCTGTGCAACCCCATAGACAGAAGTTCACCAGGCTCCCCCGTCCCTGGGATTCTCCAGGCAAGAACACTGGAGTGGGTTGCCATTTCCTCCTCCAATGCTTGAAAGTGAGAAGTGAAAGGGAAGTCGCTCAGTCGTGTCTGCCTCTTCGCAACCCCATGGACTGCAGCCCACCAGGCACCTCCGTCCATGGGATTTTCCAGGCAAGAGTACTGGAGCAGGGGTGCCATTGCCTTCTCCAAGAAATGACCACAGCACCTGCAAAAACTCACCTGTCCTGCTGCCAGCTAACAGATTCACATGTGCTATATTGTTTCCCTAAGCTCTTCAAGGTAGGTCCCTACCACTTGGTTCCACTGTAAAAGTTCAAAAGCTTCTTGCTAGATAAGCAAATCACAGCCCACACCCAACAAGGTGCTTCTCTCCTGGCGTCATGTTACCACCGTCATGCACACCTCATGGGACACTCCAGTCTCCTAACGGAGTCTGCTTCCTGTTGGCATCCACCTGCTACCCCACCCCCAGGCAGGTGCTGAGAGCTAAGACAGAGGAGCCAGGGCTAAGCCTGAGCTGGGGGACGCTGTACAGGTAAGCACAGGCCCCTTCATGGTATGCTCACAGCCCACTGCCCCACCCTCCTCCAGCTGGCCCTAATCCACCCAGGTCAAGCACTACCTCCAGGAATTGAGCAGGGATCACGACGGGAGCGAGCTTAGGCCGAAAGCTGGGTGCGGACTTGGGCCGGCGGCGCTTCTGCCCCAGCTCATCTACCTTCTGGGAGGTGAGGTCCTCGTCACAAGACTTCTTGGCTGGCAGGTAGGAGGAGTCCCTGTCCCCTTCGGGGCAGTAACTTGAAGCGATGCGGACCCTGGCCTTGCGAGGGGGCGAGGCGTGCATGGGATCCCCAGGGTCCATGTCAGGGGGCAGGGCGCTCGGGGGGCTGGTGGATGGGGAGCTGCCCACCAGAGTGGCCTCTGACTCAGAACTGGTTTCCAGCTTGTGCTGGAACTTAATGGAGTCACCCCTCCTGGGAGGTTTTGGGGGCGTCAGAGGTCCCACCCTCTTGGAGGGCAGGGGGGAATGGGCAGGTCCAGAACCTGGGAGCAAGTAGTCTATTTTGGGGGGTGTCTGGGGGCGTTTGAAAGTGTTTGGGTCAAAGATAGACTTTCTTTGCTTTGGCTTCCTGTAAACAGAGAGCTTCTCGGGCCCCGCCGTGGAGCTGAGCACAGCCTTGGGCCAGGTCCCGCCACTGTGGGCGCTGTCAGGCTCTGCCTTGTCCAGGGGGGCCTCTGCCACCCCACAGGGGCCCACCTCAGTCTCGAAGGGCAGCAGTGGCCGCCGGCTGCGCACGTCTGCCGGCCCATAGCCACGCTCCCCCGAGGCATCCGAGCGGAAGGAGCTCAGGCTGCGCTCAGAGGCACTCGGACAAGCCTGGGGGGAGACGGAGAAGGGTCCCCCGGGGAACGGCTTGTGCAAGAAGGAGCTGCTGCCTCCGGGGTGGCCTGACTCCTTCCTGTCTTCCAGCCTGTCCGCGTAGAAGATGTCCGTCTGCGTGGAGTTGTTGTGCTGCATCAAATTCCGTTTATTCTGAGCCTGGACCTCTGGGCCATGGGCTCGGAAGCTCAGCATCTTATCAGAGTCCTTGATGTTTTCAAAGATATTCTGGCCACTCCACGAGGCGCTCTGAGGGAACACCTAAGGAGGGGTTGCAAAGGAGTGAGGAAGGGAGCGGGTGAGACGACAGGACCTGGAGCTGTACCCGGAAAACATCCCTGGAGGTAGAGCCATGGGAGGGAATGGGCCACACACACTCCAAAGTCAGACAGACGGACAGACGTGCAGGCACACACACCTCACCCACGGGCAAGGCTTGTTTACAGCCTGGCCTCTATGAACCCACAGGAGAGACACAAAGTTCCCTGGCTTTGAGCGTTTTCTGAAATCATTTGCACTGTGTCCTGCCTAAGTTTTCAAATGATTAAACATAAATGTAAAAACTTCATTATTAAAGATATTTCTTATAGTATACCAAGACAATGGCATATTATTCAGCAATAAAAAGAAACAAGCTATCAGGCCACAAGAAGACACAGGAACCTTAAAAGCATATTACAAAGTGAAAGAAGCCAATCTGAAAATGCTACATTCTGGACAAGTCCAGCTATATGGCATGTTGGAAAAGGCAAAACGACAAAGATAGAAAAAAATATCAGAGGCTGCCAAGGGTTACGGGGGAGGAGGGGATGAATAGGTGAAGCCCAGAGGATCTTTAGAGCAGTAAAAGTATTCTCTACGGTAGTGTGGTGGTGGATACAGGTCCTCATATACTTGTCCCAACCCACAGAATGTACTCCAAAAGTGAATCCTCATGTCAACTGAACACTGCAGTTAATACTAATGTATGAATTCTAGCTCATCGGGGGCAACAAATGTGCCCCCACTGACATAGAATGGTCACGAGAAACAGAGCAGATGATAGGAGAACTCTCTGTGCTAACATAACTTTTCTATCAACCTAAAACTGCTCCCCTAAAAGCCTATTAACTTTTAAATAACACTTTAAAATATCTCCTAATGAAGTAGATGAGCCTATTTCCAACCTTCTTAGAAAAGCTGACAGGAAAGTACAATAAATGCCCTTAAATCCATTTAGATTCAACAGTAATTGGCCAAACTGTCTATATCTATTTACGTTGTAGAACATTTGCAAGTAAGTTACAAATATTATGACATTTCACCCTAACAGCGTCGACATGCCTTTCCCTCAAATAAAGCCATTCTCCTATATCATCTCAACACCATGATCATACCCAGGAAAAGTGAAAATTTCCTAAGATCACCTGATTATCCAGTCCAGATCCAAACATCCTTCATAGCTGGGCTGTCTGTTTTGTCTATTTGTTTTTGGTTTTTAAACCAGGATCCAGGCCGGGTTTGCACACACCCTAGACTTAGAAATCAAGACTTTTCTCCCCAAGGACCCCCAAGGCGTGGAGAAGCAGCTTGGGTACGTGAAGCTAAGGCTCTCCCGCCCCCCAGACAGCGAGAGCAGGGCCCTTACCTTGAGGAGGGAGAGGGTCAGCGAGTCCTGGCAGCTCCGCAGCAGAGACTCACACTCATTCAGAGACTTGTTGTCCAGCGCAATGCCGTTGATCTAGGGCGAACAGGGAGCCCGTCAGCCCCGCGCCAGGCCAGGGGTTCTGCCCAGCTGCTGACCCATGCTGGACAGTAGGCCTGGTTATGTAAGGTGCCCGTGTCTGGAGCTGGCAAAGGAGAGAAAGCCCCTCGCCAGTAAGGCCCTCAAAGTCCAGTTATGGGGCTTCTGAAGCAAATGAAATACACAGCCTTAAGAACGCTCTGGGGATGGGACTTGTCTGGCTGGGAACAGAATACCAGGGGTCCCAGGGAGCATCCCACCCCTGCAGCTTCCTGCTGCGTGATGCTGGACCATGGCTCAGAACTCCTTCACGAGCAAAAAGGAAGAAAAACATGTTTGACCCCCAGGAGTGGGAGGAGACTTAAAATGAGATCATGGTGTGGGAGACCACACAGGAACCACGTGACACCAAGTATCATCACAAAGACTCCCACAACCCCACAGGCCTGAGTCTCTGGCTGCATCCTTCTCAGACTTGTTCCAATCATTTTTAAAAGTGTATGCGCAGTAGATGACTGGTGAGACTGGAGTAGTGCTCTCGATGGAGCGCTCGCTGCTCGGCATCATGGACCATCCCATCGGCACAGCCGATCACATGACAGAGCTCACAGCATGAAGCTGAGTGACAAAGGCCATCTCAAATGGGCACATGCTATAAATTCTACTTACACAATATCCTCCCAATGACGGAATTATGGAGCTGGAGAACAAATTAGTTGCCAGAGTTATGATGGGGGCTGGGGGGGGATGGAACATGCTGAGGATGGTGGAGGTTAATATAAAGGTAATTCATTTTGAAGTATGACAGAAATCAAATCAATATTGTAAAACAATCATCAATCAATCAAAAATAAATAGAATTATAAAAAATATATAAATGTTAACATGAGGGAGATCTTTGCAGTATCGGACAGTTCTATATCTTGATTTTTTTTTTCTTAATCTAAAATGTGATAAAACAACAGAGTACTATATACAGACACTGTACCCACATCTACTGTCTGGTTTTGATACCACAGTTACGTAAGATGTTGCCAACAGACATAACTAGATGATGGGTATACAAGACTCTTCTGTATTATCTTTGCAACTTTTAAAATATTACTTAATATCATAACTGAATTAGCTCAGCGATCATTTGAAAATCAAAACCTAAAAATATATATTCAGAGTGATTATCTTGGAGTGGTAGATTAATTTTTGGTTTTTATCTTGGAACGGTAGATTAATTTGGTTGGTTTTGATTTTCTTTATAACTTTCCCACATCTTAAAATTTTTCACAACGGCCATATTGCTTTTAAACTCTAGCTTGCCCCCAAGTCTGAAAAACACTGGCAAAGATGTGACATAACAAGCCACCCCAAACACTGCAGATGAGACTCGAAAGGCCACAGCTTCCTTAGAGCACACGGAGAAAGGTCACATCACAGGATAAATGCTTACAGCCTCTGACCCAGCAACTCCCCCACCCAGAACCATACCCCATGGCAAGACACAGCAGAGGCCACGCAGCGCTATCATAGAAGCAAAAAGGTCCTCACTGTGCATCAGGGGACTGGCTCAACAGCCACTACAGAACATGCAGTTTATTGAAACGACCAGATTTAAAGATGTGAATCTGAAAGAACCTCAAAGCATGCTGTTAAAAATAAAAAGCAAGGTTAGCTGAGTTTTTGTAAAAAGTGGGAGCTAAAACTGTAAGTTAACAAACATTTGTTGCTTAAAAAAAAAAAGTGGGAGATACAAGTTTTGAGTGTGTTGGAGAGAAAAACACAATGAATTGTTAGAAGTGGTTGGCATCAGGGTGGGAACTGGGAGACAGGGAGTCTAGAACTGGGGAGAGTTCCCAAGACTTACGGCCACAATCCTGTCTCCCACGGCAAGGGACCCCTCCTTGGCAGCTGGGCTTCCGGGCACCACGGCAGCAGCATACACTCCGTTCTCGAGGCTGATGCCACTGTCTGCAAACCACAGAGGCCCCCAGTTAACCCCCGCCAGGGTCAAACGGCACTCTGGCTCCCTCCCCTCATCTTTGTGAGATCAACTTATAAAAGGGATGTTGGCAGACTATGAACTATCCATCTCAGCACCCCACCCAGGTCAGACCATCCAGGGGCCTGATCATGTCTGGTCTAGTGAATTAAACAGTCACAGCAAGACGCAAGACCCAGACGGTCCCCTGGCGGGAAGCACACACACTGCAATACCTCGTTCTGGGAATAAGGTACGCTTGAAAACACACACATCCTCTCTACACAAGAAAGGGGTACCCTATCCATCTCCATGGCCCCTACCTTTATGCCCGCTCAGGTTGATGTGCAGTGGTGTGACCACCTTCCCACCCAGGGACTTCCTCCGACGCACGACCATGTTGATGGCCCCCTCCCCATTGAGAAGTGCCTTGATGGCCTGCTTCTTGTCCTTGTTGATGAGGTCCACGTCGTTGATTCTCAGCAGCCAGTCATTGACCCTGAGGAGGGGCAAAGCCAGGTCACTGCCTGTGGAAGCCTTGGGACCAGGGGCCAATGCCTGCTGCTCCTATTCGGGAGCAGAACACCAGAAAGCAGATACCCCACAAACACGTTCAGAAAGATTTCCTCTTCCAGGAGGGAAGAGTAGTTAAGCTCGTAGAGGCAGCCTGGGTTCAAATCCAAGCTCTACAACTTACTGGCAGTGTGACGTAGCCCCTCTGGGCCTCAGGGTTCCCATCTGTAAAATGGGGGCAATGAGCACCTACCTCATGGATTATAAAGGTAAATGAACTGTATAAAGTGCTTGAACTTAGTGGTTAACAAGCACTATGTAGATGCTAATTATTATTATTACTATGCCATGGGATGAGAAAGCAATGTACATTCTAGACACACACACCACCTGAGCGCCCTTAATACACAGAAGTAAAAGGAGAAAGATCAGATTCAGAGGCGATTTGGAGTCAGTATGTCCTTTAAGAACAGTGTTAACAGTTGAACCTGCAAGTTCAAACGGCTTCTAAAAGTCCCCCAGATCCTGAGATGCATTCATTTAAATGCCACCTGGCGGCTTCCCTGGTGGCTCAGTGGGAAAGAATCCACCTGTCAATGCAGGAGACAAAATGTTCGATCCCTGATCCATGAAGATCCCACATGTCGTGCAATTACTAAGCCTGTGAGCCACAACTACTGAGCCCGTGTTCTAGAGCCCAGGAACTACGACTACTGAGTCCATGCGCCCTAGAGCCTGTGCTCTGCAACTAGAGAAGCCACTGCAATGAGATGCCTCCGCACCACAATTAGAGAGCATCCCCTGCTCGCTGCAACTAGAGAAAGTCTGTGCAGCAATGAAGATCCAGCACAGCCAAAAATAAATTAATTTTCTTAAAAAAGAAATACCTTATAAACGTCACCTGGTATCTCCAGGTCCTCTGCATTAGGTCAAAGAGAAACGTCCCCCTCCCCTCCAGAGCTGGGGTCCTTAAACTTACCGTAAGCGTCCATCAGCGATGCTCCCTTTGTCCACTTTAGTGACAAATATGCCACAGTCCCCCGGCAAACAAGGCTCATTCACACCTTCTGCCATATCGAACCCAAGTGCTTTCAAGTCAATATCCTCCTGTCAAGAAGAACGGCAACAGTTCACTTTAAGCAGTGATGAGAAACACTTGGCTCTTACACCTCTGGCCACTCACTCCAACGCAGGGGTTGTCCCTTCACTCTGATGGGGCACTTGGTCCCCAGGATGGAACCTCTGAGCAGCTGTGATCCACCCCTCTCTGCTACTGCAGACACACAGCCCCCTCAGGCTCTGCGCTCCACGCACTGCCAACATCTGCCGGGGGACACAGGAGACCAAGCTGTGGCTGCTACCTGGCTTGGACAAGTGCCGGCAAAGGAGGCATCTGCACCCTGGGAGGAAAAACTGACCTCCCAACTAGCAGCCATGAAACTGGAGGGCACTGCAAGAGGGCCAGCCACCCTTTCACTTCCGTCCCAAGCCTGCATGTTGAGGTAAGCTGGGGAGAAAAGACCTGCAGGCAGTTTACCGTCTCCCTTTCAAACTCCACAACTTCTGTCTCCCACTCCATGGAGTCTGTGTCGATGGCTGAGTCGTGGGAGCTGTGGGCCATCAGCTGCCGGAACCGGGCCTCCTTTTCCAACTGGGATTCCATCTGCTCCCTGAGGACGAAGAGAGAGTCATGGCAATGGCCCTCTGGGAGGCAAAGCATCCCAGCCGAGTCCACTGGGAAACAAGGTGGACCATGCCCAGCTCCCTTACACTACACAGCAGCTTCCTAATAAATCCAAGGGTCAGGTCAAGGCTTCCTGAATCAGTGGGTTTTCATAGTTTTTAAGTCTCAGAAATTTGCCCCAAATTTATCTAGGTAGGGGTTTAGTGCAATTCTGATAGAACTGCCAGTAAGACTTTCTGTAGCAAAGACTGTTCTAAAATGTATATGGAAAGGCAAGGAATTAAAATGACTAAACCGATTTTTTAAATGAAGAAAAAAATGGGAGGGATCATTCTACTTGATTTCAAGACTTATACAGCTACAGAAACCAAGACTGTGTGGAATTGCCAGGGAGACAGAGACATGGATCAATGGAACTGAATAGAAGACCCAGAATCAGCTCCACAAAGTACAAAAGGTACAGAAGTAGTTCCATAAAGAAAGCACCGTCTTCAACTAATGATGCTGAACATCATGGCAACAGACTCTCAACCTAAACCCCATACCTTATGCAAAAATTAACTAACGATATATCATAGATTTAAATGTAAAACTGTAAAACTTCTAGAAGGAAAGTATAGGAGAAAATCTTTGAGATCTAAAAATAGATTAAGGATTTTCAGGCATAACATAATCCACTAAAAGTTTCAAAACAATTAATACGTTGGATTTGATCAAAATAAAAAGCTTTAGCTCTCAGAAAGACCCAGGTAAGAGGATGAAAAAAGACTCAGAAACCTTGCAATATTTCCCAGTAACATCCTTCTTCCTAAAACCTGGGCCCAGATAACCTTCCAAATTCATCAGTACTGCCCTGACACACTCATAATTCATTTCCTGATCAAGTGGACATGTTCCTAGGTACACACTTGGGCCTGAGCCGTGATCAAAAATGTGTGGCCGGCTCTAGAAGGCCACAGCCTGTGAGTAGCCTTCTCCAAGCCTTCCTCCCTGACAGAGCAACAGCTCTATGCTGCACATTCACTGCATGTGGCTCAGCTCTCACCCACCATGCAAGCCTGCTGCTTTTGCAGACGGGGGACTTCCTGGGCAGTAGCAGGAAATCCCTCGCTTGCATCCTACCAGTTAGAGAACTTAGCACAGAGGCGACGCAATTACAAATGTGCTGAACCAACGAACAAATGGAACCTGAAATTTCTCAAAAGTTCCAGGCAACTCTGGTTCAATTACTGTACAAAAAACCTCTTCCCATGCTTAAGCACCCCAGGGCTCCAGGCTGTGCCCTAATTTGATTTCTACCACTTGCTAGATCCAAACTGGGCCCCTGGAGTGCCTGCCTTCTTGCCTTTTAACCTCTGGGATTTTCTTAGAGTGCTTAAACCCCAGGGCTCCTGGGTTTTCATTGAGCAAAAGAAGCTGTTTGTCTCACGTTAAGAGGTGCTGTTGAACAGGGAGGAAGGGGAATCAGTCACCCACTTCTGGAAGGCTTCGCTGGAATGTGCGAGGCTTGCACACTCACTAGCTTCTCACCACCCTATCAGGTTGGGAGGTCTCAGGAACAGAGAGAGAGCCACCGCTTCTCAACTACAGAGCCTGGTTCCTGTTCTGAACTGCAATGATGGCTGCTGGGATCTGCCAGTTTCTCTTTTTCAGCCTGGATCTTTGTATTTCCTACACACTGGGAGGGGCCACCAAGTCTGAAATGACATCCCTGGAGCAGCGCTGTAATCAAGTGTCTGACGCCCCAAAAAGCACAGGCAGAGTAGACCGCAGAGTGGTGGTAACCACCGCCTTCAAACGCTGCTTCACAATCTGTCATCTTTCTGTCCCATCGCATACTGGTCTCTCAGATGCTCCTGCCTTGGGTCTGTCTCCGTGTGCTGCAAGCCCCACAGGGACCGATGGCTTGTGCCTCCCCAAGGCCTGGTCCACAAAGAACAGGTGCCTTGCAAATCCTTGCTGAGTTGGCGAATGAACGAGGGAGGGAGGGAGGGAGGGAGGGAGGGAATGGACAACACATGCTTGCCTGTGCCCCGGCGGACTGCCCGGGGCAGGGGCCTTCCATCCGATGTACCTGAGCATACGGTGCCTGCCCACCTCCACAGGCTCACCAAAGGGCCGATGCCACTTTCTGTGCTGGTCTGAGGATTTCTAATTAACTCTCAACGTAGAGGCAACACTGGGACCCGTTTTACAGACTGAGTAAGGGGACCGGCGGCCAGGCCTGCCCATGGGGCTGCTGTGCCCTGGTGGGAGGGGGACCTGTGCTCCCCAGGTGCCAGCTCACCCCAGCAGTGCCCACCCCAGCATACTTGAGCTCCTTCAGCTCCCGGCTGACATCATTCTTCTGTTTGCGAGTGTCGTCCAGGCTGCGCAGGGCCTCAGCCAGCTCACTCACTGCCCGGTCCCGCTCCCGTCTTAGGTTGTCACAGAGTGTCCTGGCAGAGGGGGCAAAGGGCAAGGTCACTGTGAGGGGCAGCGGACAGAGGACTCATGGCCTGCAGTGAAGCTTGCAGCCCACGTTCCTGAACACCCTGGATGCCGGCCTCGGCCCCAGATGCATGGGAGGAGTGCTTGAGGGTCTGGAGACAAGACCTCCCAGGCCAATCCCACACAGGGACAGAGAGGACACCTTGGACCTGGCAGAGGGGACAACCCCATGGTTACCAGGCAACGAGCATCTCATTCTGCAGTCCAGTGTCCGTCCCACAGTTTCACCCTCAGTGTACCTGGGGGTCAAACACCATGCTCCCGTTCCCAGCTCATCTGGCAAGCCCCGGTGCTCCAGCACCGACCACATGCTTCATGCAGGTTTTTCTAGAGTTGCCCTCCACCCCACAACTAGACGGAGCCCCCCATTTGGACAGAAATCATGTCTTACGCATCTCTGCAGCCCCGAGCCCTGTGCAGGTAGAAAGTGTCAGCTTAAAAAGTCTCTACTAACAAACGTGTGGCCTCTGGGATCCCAGGACCAGCTTGGTCAGTCAGACAGGAGGTGGGGACAGCTGAACCAGCAGCAGGGGAGTCTGTGCTCTGTGCCAGCCCCAGAACTGCATCCTGCCCCCAGATGGACCCTGAGTGGGCTGGTCCCTACCTTTCAATGGCCCCAAGTCCCCTCCAAGCCTGAACCTTCACCTCCCGATCAGCCCAGAGTGTATCTGTCTCTCCAAACAGCCGCAAGTTACAAAAAGTCTCAGTGACCAGGTTCTCAGTCATCCCCAGCAACACTAGGGTCTCTAGGGTTTCGAGACCACTAGGGTCTCTCCTGGCTTTACTCCAGGCCAAGGTCCAAGTCTCCACTCCAGGGCTTCCCTTCAGAGGTCCTCTCCACCTGCCCTCAGGAGCCCTGTCAGCCGCTTCTCCTATGACTCTGTAAGTGTGTGCCCCACTCATGCCACATCCAGTCCCAGGCCTGCCCTGGCTTCACCAACCACCTTTGTTATGCTGGTCCCTCAGGCTGCAGCACCCATCCCTCTTCTCCATTTAGAAACAATGCCGCTCAAGCTTAAGTTCTAGCTTGAATGCCATGCTTCCTGGGGAGACCTCCCTACCTGCCCCCCAGTTCCCTGCACGCCCCCACAGGTTTACTGTTCATGCATCTCCCTCTCCCCATTGCCCTGTCCCATCACGTTGCCGGCAGCCCCCACTGCTTGGCCCCCTCACGGGCATCACACATGCCCAGGAGCCTCAAAAGCTATTTCTCATCCATTCGTGAGGAAGCTGTGGTACATATACACCATGGAATATTACTCAGCCATTAAAAAGAATTCATTTGCATCAGTTCTAATGAGATGGATGAAACTGGAGCCCATTATACAGAGCGAAGTAAGCCAGAAAGATAAAGACCATTACAGTATACTAACACATATATATGGAATTTAGAAAGATGGTAACGATAACCCTATATGCAAAACAGAAAAAGAGACTCAGATGTATAGAACAGACTGTGGACTCTGTGGGAGAAGGCGAGGGTGGGATGTTTCAAGAGAACAGCATTGAAACATGTATATTATCTAGGGTGAAACAGATCACCAGCCCAGGTTGGATGCATGAGACAAGTGCTCGGGCCTGGTGCACTGGGAAGACCCAGAGGGATCGGGTGGACAGGGAGGTGGGAGGGGGGACCGGGATGGGGAATACATGTAAATCCATGGCTAATTCATTTCAATGTATGACAAAAAACCACTGCAACGCTGTAAAGTAATTAGCCTCCAACTAATAAAAATAAATGGAAAAAAAAAAAAAGCTATTTCTCTCCCAGGGTGTCCTTAAAGCTCAAGGGACCTGGCACCCAGTCAGCAACCAATGAATACTGGCTATAAGAATGCAGCTCTATGATACAAATGAACTTACTTACCAAATAGAAAGAGAAAGAAACTTACAAAATGAACTTATGGTTGCTGTGCGGGGAAGGATGAGCGGAAGGAAAGTTAGGGAGTTTGGGATGGACATGTACACAATGCCATATTTAAAATGGATAACCATCAAGGACCTTCTGTATAGCACAGGGAACTCTGCTCAATGTGATGTGCCAGCCTGGATGGGAGGAGAGTTTGGGGGAGAGTGGATACATGTGTTATGTATGGCTGAGTCCCTTCGCTGTTCACCTAAAGCTATCACAACATTGTTTGTTAAGCAACTATACCCCAACACAAAATAAAAAGTTTTTTAAAAAGAGAATGCATTTCTGAAATGTCAGTTGCACCAGAAGCCCCCTAAGATAAAAGCCTGGCCTTGTGAAACTTCATGAGGGGCTATGCTCTGGACACAGCATGCATTTGGACATCTAGGGTAAAGGGAAATAGGAAGTTGAGATGTAATGGAAAATTCAGAATTTTCACTATGAGGCGAGACTGGGACATCACCTAGAGTGAGAAGGACGACCTAGGTCACTCCCACCAGACCTGGAAGTAAGTGGCAAAGACTCTGACTCTCCCACAGACCCACTGCGTCACGGGGAGACCCGAACCCATGGGGGCCCCAGCACCCATACCGGATGCTGTCCCGCTCAGCCACGATCTTGTCCCGCTCCTGGAATGCCCAGTCCCGCCGGCACTTGGCCACGTCTGCCTCTTGGAGGGCTTCCTTCAGCTCCTGGCACAGAGCCTTGCACTGCTTTCGAAGGATTTCGGCCTCTTTGTTGGCCCTCCCGGCGTCCAGTGTCACTGTGTCTTTGATCTGCAGGGGGACGACGAGTGGGCAGAGCAGGAGGTTACTGGGCCTCCTGGTCCGGAAGTGCCCTCCGACTGGTGCAGGAGCTGGATGGAGGGAAGTGCTGGGATCCCAGCCAGAGCCCATTCCGACACCCCCCAAACCGTGACGACACGCTCCACAGCCATGCTCACACCAACAGTGATGCTATATTAGTGTTCACCCAAACTCTCTCAGCCCCTCACAGAGCCAGGACTGGAAGCCCAGCCCCTCCTCTGATCTCAGGGGCCCAGGTGAAATGACCCCCAGAAGGCTCCTCCTAAACCCCACCTGCCACTTAGGGGATGTATGTCTTGCAGAAAGCCCTATGCATCTCTCTACAGAGTGCTTGGGACAAAATGTGACACGAGGCCCCACTGCAGTGAAGGGTGTAGCACTGGTCATGACGCTTCCCCACCCACTGTGTCTACAACACAGCTGTTATACTCTGGCATACGGAGTTATTGCTAAATCTGAAAATTCACCAACCGCTATGTTTGCTGGGGAAGTCCTGGGTGTCTCAGCTCCTTTTAAAAGCTGAAATCTAAAGGATCTGTTTCTGGACCTCTTTCCACAGCATGACATGATCTGTTAAAATTTCAAATCTCTGAAGCACTCATACAGAAAGCTCCCTCCGTGTTTCAATAATCCTCAGAAAACATGAAGAATATGACAAATGACGAAGTGAGTGTCTACTGCTAGAGTAACTCCTCCTCCAGCTCAAACGCTTTCTGAAGAAGTAAAATATACACAAGACGAGAATGCTCCTCTGGTCATCTTCCGCCTCCCCCAGTGCCTCCCCTCCTATCCCTCTGCTCCCCACTGTTCCTTCCTCACTTTACGCAGTAATTCCCCCCTCATACCATGTTCCCCAACTTTCTACCAAATTCAACCCCCCAAGCAGGACTGGATATCAGAGAGGCAACTGCGTTCAAGGGGCAGTGGAAAGCAGTGCCAGTCCAAGTGACCAAGCTTGCCTTTCAAGGGGACAGTGGCTCTGTCAGAGGGGTCTGTCTTAGGAAGTGACCCAGTATCTGGAAGGACCTCTGTGAAAGGCAGCAGTGCCCCACGGCTTCCCTGGGGCAGCAACCAGTTTCCATGTCCTCCTGAAGCCGGCGAGCTTTCGGCGAACCTGGCAGCCTATGGCCGGAGGTTGGACACCGGCCCAGGTGAAGGAAGTCCCTGGATGTGCCCACTCTGAGAGGTGGAAAGCAAGGAGGGAGGTGGCAGAGCTGACCAGGTGTCCTGCTGCTGCTGCTAAGTCGCTTCAGTCATGTCCGACTCTGTGTGACCCCATAGACGGCAGGCCACCAGGCTCCCCCTTCCCTGGGATTCTCCAGGCAAGAATACTGGAGTGGGTTGCCATTTCCTTCTCCAATGTGTGAAAAGTGAAACTGCAGATGCTCATTCGTGTCCGACTCGTAGCGACCCCATGGACTGCAGCCCACCAGGCTCCTCCATCCATGGGATTTTCTAGGCAAGAGTACTGAATGGGCTGCCATTGCCTTCTCCAGACTGGGTGTCCAGAGCGAGGCCAAAACCCTGACAGGCCCCCTCACCTGCCCTTCCTTTGCACACGCACTCTGGAGAAGACAATAGGGCGGGTGGGAGGCAATGAAAGAGAAAAGAGGGTAAATAAACAGGAGGTAGAGAGAGGAGGGGAGCATAGGAAGGCACAGGTGTCAGAAGGAAAAAGCACCACCAGCCCTGGTGAACAGAATCAAAACAGTTCTGAGACCTGGGCCCTGGCCTGGCTCAAGGTCCATCTCAGGTGACCCCCCAAGAAGTGGCTGCTGGCGCAGGGTGGGAGCAATCCTTAGGGACCTCGCAGGCCGTGGGGAGATAAGACCCTCCATGCCCACACCTCAGAGCCAGGACGGCCCAGGCCACAGACTTAGCCTCTTCTGGCCAGATGGGGAATGGTCTTGTCCCAGAAGCCAGACAGATTCCGGAGGGAGCCGAGGGTTTCAGCTGTGGAAGCTGCGGGGCGGGGGCTGGGCTGTCCTCGCCTACTGACTGGGACGGGTGCCCAGAAAAGATTCCTGTCTCAGCTGACAGGCAGACCTCACGCGCGGCCAGTGCCCCTGTGAAGGTACAGGGCTCCAGGCTGGAGGCACATGTGAGCCCTGGGAGGAGTGGGCGACATGGGCCACCAGACGGCATCGCGGGGCAGCTGGGGGTCCTCCTCCGCCCCCGTGTTTCCGCATTCCTGCCAAGAGCACGATGAACCTCTATCATCTCAGCCACAGGGCTGCTGGCCTATCACAGGCCACCTTCAATGGCGCTAACACACTGTCCTCAGCGTTGTAGTTCAGTGACTGACTGGGGCATCTCTGATGTTTTACTCTTCGTCATTCTGTTTTCCTCATTTGGTATCAACATTTTCCCCAACAATTAAGCTCTCATACCAGAATGTGAAAATGGGGTGATATTTTCTCCAGGGCAATCACCAAGCCCTAACACATTACATTTGCTTATCAAGAATGTCTTCAATTACCTAGAATAATAGTCCAATTCAGAGAGTCAGACAGTATATTAGTAGATGTCAGGGGCCACGGGTGGAGGTGGCAGAGGGATGGGGAGTTAGCGTCTAATTGGGACCGAGTTTCAGTTTAGAAAGGTGAAAATTCGGGAGATGGATGATGGTAAGAGCTGCACGACAATGTGAATGAACTTAGTGCTACCGAGCTGTGCAGTCAATACGGTTAAAATAGTATGTTTTATATTATGTGACTTTTACAGCAATTAAAAAAAGAACCTCTTCATTATGGTCTTTTAAAAATTTCATCAAAGAAAAAATATTCCTTTTCATGATAGCTTTCACCTTGATGGTCTGGATAAGTTTCACTCTCTCTGCATAAAACTCTGTCGTTATTTGGCCCATTTTTGCCTATAAAAACAATTTCATAGGATGCACCCTAATCCGAACAGGGTGGTAAAGTTCACATGGGCATAAAAATAACCCTAATAATAAAGACTTAAATCTTTCCTACTTCACACAGATACTATTCTAAGTGTGTTTTCAATGTTAACTCAGCTGATGGTCACAACCACCCTGCAAAGCAGATACTGTCATTATTCCAGTTTGTAGACGAGGCAACTGAGAGGCCCAGAGCACTAGGAGAGGTAAGAGGTCACGTGGTTGAGGAGGTCCACCCTCCAAGCACTGCTCCCAGCACTGCCAGGGCATGAGGCAGCATCACTGTCCAGATAGAGGCTCTCGAGGCCCTGGCCACCCCTCGGGTATCAGCCCTGCCTCAGACTCAGTTCAGCGGGCTCTAGCTGCAACAATCCATGCACACACTGTCCCCTCCCAAACTGCCCGACCTTTAACACCTCCTTTTCATTTCTCACAGGCCAGTTTTCAAGCCTTTATTCTAATGGACCTGCAGAGCAAAGTAGAATGGAGAGGTATGAATGGAGAACTACTCCAATGGAAAGAAAATCTGCTGATCAAGTTCAGCAATTCCAAACAGAGTCACACATGAAGCAACAGGATGCAAAGGTAATCTCAAATAGGGGGAGTCCATGGGCCTATGTCCATGGCACTGTGTCCACGGGCCTGTGTTCTGCCTCAGCAGAACACACCTGGTCATAGGAGTAAGCAGTGTCAGCAATGAGGTCTGGGTGGCCAGGCAGGAAAGATAGAGATTCCCCACTGGTCACTCAGCAGTCAAGCTCAGCGGCTCAATTTGGATGCTCCTGAGCCCCGCTCCCCGCAGATATGTCCCCCAGGAAGCAAAGCTTGAGAAGGCCCTTGGGCTCAGCCTGGTAGACCAACTTCCCATCAGGAGCCCAACCACCCCTCCACAGAGCAGATTCCTCAGATGTCAGGGGGAAAGGAACACTGAGTGTGCTCTTCCAGACTCACAAGGCCAGATGTATCTATGGCTCGGGGACCCTGGCCTTGGGATATCTTCTTAATGAGCAAGTCCTTGAGCTGACTTCCAACTGGAGACTAATCAACCATCACATCACCAAGGGCATGGGTGAGCATCTGCATGTGTCATCCAACCTTCTTCCTACACTGTCAGCTCCAGATACCTGGGACCACAGCTGGACCTCACCTGTGTCCCGCGCAGCCTGACCAGAGCCGGGCACCAAGCGTGAGCTCAGCAGTTACCCAGGCAACATCCGACAGCCCAGCCAGCAGCAGGCCAAAGGTGAGAAGCCATCAGCCCCCTGCTACTCCAAGCACCTATGCACCACAGCCCTCCCTCCCTCACCACCTTCCGACCTGTCGCAGCGCCTCCATCTCCTCGCTGGCCGCCTTCTTCTCAGACGTGCTGCTCTTGAGCTTGGACTCGGCCAGCTCTACCTCGGTCTGCAGCTTGTCCAGCTCGGAGATGACCTGGTCACGCTCGCTCATGATGAGCTTGTACTCGCTGTACACCGCGTCCCGCTCCTCCTTGTACTTCTCTGACTCCTTGGCCGTTTTCGCCTGTGTGGTCCTCAGCTCCGTCAGCTCTGACTGCAGCAGCTCCATCTCCCACTGCAGGTCCTTGTTCTGGGCCGTGGCCTTGTTCAGCTCGTGGTGAATGGTCTCGAACCTGGGGGAGAGGGGCAGTTAGGATGTGGGGGATGGAGGCCAGCTTTGCGGTGCTGGACAGTGAAGCGTGAAGATTCAAGAGCGGTCATTCTCCATACCCCCGAGAAAAGTCATGAAGGACCAGTGCCCCTGGACCCAGGCTTTTTCTCAACCTTTTACAAATACTGGAAGTTGCATGGAGGACCTCACGCCCTCTGCTCTACCAGAAAAAAACAGAATTCTTTCTTTCTTCCATGGTCAAGCTACATTATTTTAAAAAATAAAAAGAAAACAAAAAAAAAACCCACTAGAATCACAGCCTATGAAAGATAAAAGTGGCCTGAATGATCATTGAGTCTGGCCAGCTCATTTCACAGATATAGATGATAAGGCCTTGAGATACAGGTGACTGGTTCAAGGTCACCAGGTTGGCATCAGGGCACAGCTCAGTCCTTCCAGGCAAGGAAGATCCTGCCATGAAGGCAGCCCTGCAAATTAAAGCCTGCAGCTCCAGAGCAGTGTTTCTGAAGGTGGGTTCCTTGGGGCACCAACCCTGCATGGAGCTCCATTAAAGAAAGTGTGCCCTCTGCTGACCGATGTTTAGGAGACACTGCACTCTGCCCCGTCTTGGGAGAATCTAGTGCACAGTACCAGAGTAAAGGCTCTGAGAAGTCCTGCAGGGCAGACCCCTGTTTGTGTGCCACCTGGCAATTCCCAAACTCTCTTACAGCCAGAGACTGCCTTTCATATAAAGCTAATAGGCACCTCAGAGGACAGGTATCCTGCAGCAATGTACTCAAGAAACACTGTTTGAGGGCTGGGGTCACAGACCTACAGATTATCTACCTTAATAAAAAGTAGAACTCTTTATTAAGAACACTGCCTAGGACAATTAACTTCCCTATCTGTTAGGTGGGTGAGTGACAGGGAGGGCAGAGGCGTGTGGGGCAACCTCTGAAATCAGGATGGTCAGAATACCTGAGTCATTCAGACAGGAGAAAAGAGCACAACACCCACGACATGCTGAGTCAGGAAAATGATTTCTGGAGACAACATAACTTTGGATTGAAAGAGCTCAATGTGCTCTTTTTATCCCAGAAAGTGGCAGGGAGCCCTGCAGATAACCAAGGGCCCATAGAGGAGAAAGCAGTCCCCGGCAGGGAAGGTAGCATTTGGCACTCTGGCCGTTCTCTGAGAGCAAAAGACAGGCTGACTCGCTGCCTCCCGTGGCGACCCAGGTTCCTACCTCCTCAAGGAAAGGGCACACTGGTGCTGCAGCTGGATGGCCGTGTCCCTCTGCTGGGTCAGCATCTCCGTCTGCTTCAGCAGGCGCTGGTTCTCCTCCTCCAGCTGCTCCAGGCGGCTCAGGTCCGAGTTGTGGATGGCGACTTTCTCACTGTACCGCTTCCGCAGGGCATCATAGTCCTTCTTCACCACCTCCAGCTTGTCCATGGCCGTGTCGTACAGCTTGTTGAGAATTTCTGATGACCCGTTGTGCTTCAACACCTGGGGACCAGAGAATCAGGCTTACCAAAGGTCGGAGGGCAGGAAGAAGGACAAACTGACCTCCATCTGTCTGGGGGGAGGACTGTTGACAAGGGAGGGGAGGTTACACCCTCTGGCCTTTGGGAGTCTCACGGTCTGATTGCACAGGCTCTGCAGTCACACTGAGCTGATTCACTCCTTCACAAATATTCCTTAAGTAGTGTAAGGAAAGAGTTACTACAGCAGGGCTGAGACTTCTAGCCTTAGGGAGACCTGCTTGCAAGCCGACCCTTGGCTGGTGTCTGGCAGCATGAATGGTAAGTAGTCCACTGCACTGATATAAAACTTTTCCCAAGTGATAGAAAGGGTTTTCCATGCCTGGAATAGATAGACAGTGTGTCTTGGGCTCAACACCAGCTTTCTTCTGGGAGTCTTGAATTTCAGAGCATGCTAAGCAAGGGGCTACGTATATGACCACTCCCAGTAAAAACTCCCTGGGCAGGGAGAATCTCATGGGCTTCCCTGGTTACAAGTCTCACGTGTTGTGATGATTCAGTGCTGGGGGAACTAAGCCTGTCCTGTGTGACTCCACAGCAGGACTCTCAGAACTCAGCAACCGGTTTCCTCTGGACTTTGCCCCATGCACCCCTTTCCAGAAGAAAGGAGAAGTGACCCCACAAGGACTGACCCAGACTTGTCCGGGAGTGTCCTGGAGTCTCCAGCTAAGGCGTGGGTTGGTGGTGGCCTGCTGCGGAGTTGGGGGCAGTGAGTGTAGCAGTGTGTGCATGAGATCTTTTGAAGGAGGTCGTCATTATCTTCATTAACTCCAACATAGTTTTGGCCCCAGATAAATAGCAGGGGGGGAACACAGCCCCATCCATCAACAGAAAATTGGATTAAACAATTACTAAGCCTGGCCCCGCCCATCAGAACAAGACTCAGTTTCCCCCTCAGTCAGTCCCTCCCATCAGGAAGCTTCCATGAGCCTCTTATCCTTCTCCATCAGAGGGCAGAGAGACTGAAAACCACAATCATAGAAAACTAACCAATCTGATCACATGGGCCACAGCCTTGTCTAACTCAATGAAACTATGAGCCATGCCATGTAGGGCCACTCAAGACAGATGGGTCATGGTGGAGAGTTCTGACAAAATGCGGTCTACTGGAGAAGGGAATGGCAAACCACTTCAGTATTCTTGGCCTGAGAACCCCATGAATAGTATGAAAAGGCAAAAAGATAGGACACTGAAAGATGAACTCCCCAGGTCAGTAGGTGTCCAATATGCTACTGAAGATCAGTGGAGAAATAACTCCAGAAAGAATGAACAGACAGAGCCAAAACAAAAAACAACACCCAGTTGTGGATGTGACTGGTGATGGAGGTAAAGTCCAATGCTGCAAAGAGCAATAGTACATAGAAACCTGGCATGTTAGGTAGGTCCATGAATCAAGGAAAATTGGAAGTGGTCAAATAGGAGATGGCAAGAGTGTATGTCTACATTTTAGGAATCAATGAACTAAAATGGACTGGAATGGATGAATTTAACTCAGATGACCATTATATCTACTACTGTGGGCAAGAATCCCTTAGAAGAAATGGAGTAGCCATCATAGTCAACAAAAGAGTCCAAAATGCAGTACTTGGATGCAATCTCAAAAACGACAGAATGATCTGTTTGCTTCCAAGGCAAACCATTCAATATCACAATAATCCAAGTCTATGCCCCGACCAGTAATGCTGAAGAAGCTGAAGTTGACCAGTTCTATGAAGACCTACAAGACCTTCTAGAGCTAACACCCCAAAAAGATGTCCTTTTCATTATAAGGGACCAGAATGCAAAATTAGGAAGTCAAAAAACAACAGGCAAATTTGGCCTCGGAGTACAGAATGAAGCGGGGCAAAGCCTAAAAGGGTTTTGCCACGGGAATGCACTGGTCATAGCAAACAGCCTCTTCCAACAACACAAGAGAAGACTCTACACATGGACATCACCAAATGGTGAATATTGAAATCAGACTGATTATATTCATTGCAACCAAAGATGGAGAAGCTCTATACAGTCAGCAAAAACAAGAATAGGAGCTGACGGTGGCTCAGATCATGAACTCCTTATTGCTTAATTTAGACTTAAATTGAAGAAAGTAGGGAAAACCACTAGACCATTCAAGTATGACCTAAATCAAATCCCTTACGAACATACAGTGGAAGTGACAAATAGATTCAAGGGATTAGATCTGATAGAGTGCCTGAAGAACTATGGATGGAGGTTCGTAACACTGTACAGAAGAGAGGGATCAAGACCATCCCCAAGAAAAAGAAATGCAAAAAAGTAAAATGGCTGTCTGAGGAGGCTTTACAAATAGCTGTGAAAAGAAGAGAAGTGAAAAGAAAAGGAAAAAAGGAAAGATAAACCCATTTGAATGCAGAGTTCCAAAGAGGAGCAAGGAGAGATAGAAAAGCATTCCTCAGTTATCAATGCAAAGAAATAGAGGAAAATAAGAATGGGACAGACTAGAGATCTCTTCAAGAAAATCAGACATACCAAGGGAACATTTCTTGCAAAGATGGGCAGAATAAAGGACAGAAATGGTATGAACCTAACAGAAGCAGAAGATATCAAGAAGAGGTGGCAAGAATACACAAAAGAACTATACAAAAAAGATCTTCACAATCCAGATAATCGCAATGGTATGATCACTCACCTAGAGCCAGATATTCTGGAATGCGAAGTCAAGTGGGCCTTAGGAAGCATCACTACAAATAAAGCTAGTGGAGATGACAGAATTCCAGTTGAGCTATTTCAAATCCTAAAAGATGATGCTGTGAAAGTGATGCACTCAGTATGTCAGCAAATTTGGAAAACTCAGCAGTGGCCACACGACTGGAAAAGGTCAGTTTTCATTCCAATCCCAAAGAAAGGCAATGCCAGAGAATGTTCAAGCTACTGCACAATTGCACTCATTTTACACGCTAGCAAAGTAATGCTGAAAATTCTCCAAGTGAGGCTTCAACAGTAGGTGAACCGAGAAATTCCAGATGTTCAAGCTGGATTTAGAAAAGGCAGAGGAACCGGAGATCAAATTGCCAACATATGCTGGATTATCGAAAAAGCAAGAGAGTTGTAGAAAAACATTTATTTCTGCTTTATTGACTATGCCAAAGCCTTTGACTGTGTGGATCACAGCAAACTGTGGAAAATTCTTAAAGAGATGGGAATACCATAACACACCAGCCTGGCAGGTCAGAATATCTGACCTGCCTCCTGAGAAATCTGTATGCAGGTGAGGAAGCAACAGTTCGAACTGGACATGGAGCAACAGACTGGTTACAAACAGGAAAAGAAGTACGTCAAGGCTGTATTTGTCACTGTGCTTATTTAACTTATATGCAGAGTACATCATGAGAAACGCTGGGCTGGATGAATCACAAGCAAGAACAATCAAGATTGTTGGGAGAAACATCAATAACATCAGATATGCAGATAACACCACCCTTATGGTAGAAAGTGAAGAAGAGCTAAGATTCTTGATGAAAGTGAAAGAGGAGAGTGAAAAAGTTGGCTTAAAGCTCAACATTCAAAAAACTAAGATCATGGCATCTGGTCCCATCACTTCATGGGAAATAGATGGGGAAACAGTGGCAGATTTTATTTTTTTGGGCCCCAAAATCACTGCAGATGGTGACTACAGCCATGAAATTAAAAGATGCTTGTTGCTCCTTGGAAGAAAAGCTATGATCAAACTAGACAGCATATTAAAAAGCAGAGACGTTACTTTGCCAACAAAGGTCTATCTAGTCAAGGCTATGGTTTTTCCAGTAGTCATGTATGGGATGTGAGAGTTGGACTATAAAGAAAGCTGAACACCAAAGAATTGATGCTTTTGAACTGTGGTGTTGGAGACTCTTGAGAGTCCCTTGGACTGCAAGGAGATCCAACCAGTCCATCCTAAAGGAGATCAGTCCTGAGTTTTTATTGGAAGGACTGATGCTGAAGCTGAAACTCCAATACTTTGGCCACGTGATGCGAAGAGCTGACTCACTGGAAAAGACCCTGATGCTGGCAAAGATTGAAGGCAGGAGAAGAAGGGGACGACAGAGGATGAGATGGTTGGATGGCATCACCGACTCAATGGACATGAGTTTGGGTAAACTCCAGGAGCTGGTGATGAACAGGGAGGCCTGGCGTGCCGCGGTTCATGGGGTTGCAAAGAGTCCGACACAACTGAGCAACTGAACTGAACTGACCGGTTTCCATGGCTGATTTTGTGTCCTTTTGCTGAAATAAATTTTATCCATGAGTACAATTACATGCTAAGTTGTACAAATCCTTTTAGTAAATCACCAAACCTGGGGGTGATGCTTCGTACCCCCAACACAAGTACCTAACATGTTCTAGTCCTGTCCTAGATGCTGGTGATGGTGGTCAGACACAATGACTGTGGTCTGAGGCCCTCTGAACCTGATGGGACGATACAGACACACATACACACAGGGACAGAGTTAGGTAGATAGTTAGAAAAACAGACCAAATAAAATAACCTGAGAGCATAAGAAGGGCTGTCAAGGAAATAAAAAATAAAATAGAATAATGAGCTGGAGAGAGATTTTTGAGCCACAGAGTAGGTCAGGAGAGAGGCTAAAGCCTGAAGAGGTGTCCCTAAGAAGGTGACTTCTGAGCTTGGGTGCAAACGAAGAACAGCAGCCAAGAGCACACCTGGCAGAGGAGCGAGCAGGTTCAAAGGCCCTGAGGCAGGAATCACCAGCCACGCTCCACGCACGAACAGAAGGGCAGGGCAGAGGGGCTGGGGCCCAGGGAATAAGCAGGAGTGGACACACAGAAAAAAGGCCAGAGAAGTGGACACGGCTACAAGGCGCACCGCAAAGATTGTATCCCGAGTGACACGGGAACCACAGGAGGGTTTTAAGCAAAAGAGTGTGCTACTCTGACTTAGAGGTACTAACGATCTTCAGGTGCTGCCCTAGAGAACAAACTACAAGATGAGCTAAGAGGTGGTCAGGG